GGTGCATCTCCTGGAATTGGATATCCACTGATAATTCTTGTAGTTGTTTTTCAGAAGTTTGGTCGACTTCATCAAGAAGCTGTTCCTCTTTCTTTAAAATGACTTCTACTACTCTCTCTCGTAATTTTCTGATTTGATCTTTGATATTTTGCGCATTAGTCTTTACTTCTTTGATTCGAAATTTCTTCAAGATTATTCTCTTTTTTGAAGCTGTCATGTTGATTTTCAGTTCATGGTTTTCATTTGACACTTTTTCTTTTACTATCTAAAGCATCGACATCGTCGCACTTCCGGTGTTTTAGACTGCAGCATGTGTGACAAATGGCCATCTTACAATCTTGACAGAACAACTCTATCGCTTTGTCTTTGTGGATATAACACATGAAGCGGCGTTTTGTCTATCTCTTGGTAGGATCAGACAAATCCACTATTTCATGCTCACGTGACATTGGCATCATGTTATGCATCTTGAGACATCCATCACAGAAAACATCGTCACAGATGGAGCACCATGCAGTGGCTGGAGTGGTCTTCCCTTGAGTTTTGCAAACACTGCAGACATTTGCATCGGCAGCTGTAAAGAAAAATATTAGTCTACATTGGGGACGCACAAATCATCATTTGGTATTTTTTAATTATAAACTTGACAATTTTGTAAACGTTGAAAACTGACAGTATTTGAGAACCTCAAAAATATTACTAGATGTATATTTCTAGACTATATATGTCTGTTTACGGATTTAATATTTATATACATTTCATAATATATTTTATGAACACATGCATGTAGATGATAAGTATACTATACTACGACATTGGTTCGGAACATCAACGTCCACGCAGTTTCGCATTTGGGTTCAACGTATTACACGTTTCATATAATATACGCATACACAGAGTACATGCATTTCTAAAATATTTGTAAAAAATACATACAATTCGGTTTTACATTTGAGATTAAGCCATCTTTCTATGACATCTGAATATATTTATCCATTATTTACCTTCTGTCCCTGGTGCCAAGTCATCCATTAGCCCCTGTATCACGTGGCTTGGTTTCAGCTGACTGATTCACTCCTCTACTGAACTGTCAGAGTTGGCCACCTTCGTCAGTTGTCTACAGGAGGGACATGGGGCGGACTTGGCTTGTATTGCTTCAAGCCGTGTGTTGGTGTATTTCAGCAGACATAACTTACAGAATGTGTGATGACACTGAAGTGTGGCTGGGTCTGTGAACACCTCTGTACAGATTACACAGGTGAGGTGATTTTCTGTCAGCGCCTTAGCGGTCGCCATCTGTGAAACAGAGAGTTTAGTTAGGGGTGCATTTAATATTCCTTTTCCATAAAATGACTTTCCCAACTCAAATCATAGGAAAAGCTAATAATTTGTAATAAATACAAACATAACTGAAGGAAGACGAGCTTACTTCAAAAGTAGTCACCTCGACTTTTAACGTCAACGAATCAATACGAAGATGTCATACATCTCTTCAAGATTGTTTGATGAGGGTTACAGCATTCAATGCTTTGATATAGTTTTCAAAACAGTTTATGCAAGAACTGTTGCATCAGGGGCCAAAAGGATATCAGAAGCAATTTCCTATTTCCTGCGAGATGAGCACATATTTTACAAGTACATGTACATATGAAGCATCGGGTCCTTCAGTTTCTTTCACAATCTTGCTGCTCTAAAGTTGTCTTTTGAGAGGGTGACCGGGGTGAACTTGTTCAGGCACCAACTGTTGAGCAAGATAAACCAGCTTTTCGAAACACACCTGTTATCATCACTATTTTATTGTGATTCATAAACACATGCTTGTGATGAAGTCAGAATCGTATGCATTCAATATATACTTCTATGAACTTATCTTTCATTTTGTTTCCACCTATTGGCATTGGGGGACACTACAAGCCACCACCCCATGCTGGTCATAGGGGCCTACAGAATTGAAAGTCGGGTAGTTTGATTGTGTGTCATGTAACTGTCATGCTGTCATGCATCTCACTGCGGTATAAAACAACATCCACATACACACTCACTATTTTAGTTATTTCCGACCCCTGCATTTGACATTCACAGGTGAACTATACATTCCGACAAAATGTGAGGTACATGGCTCTCAACATTATGGTGTTTGTGAAAGCCATCCCCTTATGTCTGCTAAAAACTTGTCTCACTGCATGACCATTTTCCATTTTTGTAGTTATTTATTTATTTTATTCTCTTTGCATGATATGTAATATAAATATTTATTTTTCAAATAACCACCAATCCCATGAAAACAAAAAAGGTTTTCACCTAACTACTTAACATATTTTCGGGGTACGGGTGGCCAAGTCGTCTATGGCGCCGCGATTCGCTGTGCAGAGTTGCGTCCCTTGGTCACGCCAGAAACCGATGATTGTGGGTTCGAATCCCGGTTCGCCCCGATTATGTTTCTAGGTTTGTCAGCACCATACCCGTGCTCGTGGGTTTCAACGAAGTGGTAAACGTCAGAGACCTGCATCACTTGGCGCCAAATGTCTGTATATGCAAACAAGAACATAGTCGGAAGGTAAACATCACAATATTGAGTTTGGTATTAATACACCACCACCACCACCTGGTTGCTGGCCTCGCGTGTGTCACGTGACGTGACTTCACCGTCGTGATCTCTGAACGGCAGTAATGTGCAATATCGACATTTACTCAACGATTTATAGTTAAAGGTAAATCAGTCTGCCTATTTAGTTTCGCATGTGCGCATGCGTGTGTTGTGTGTATATTCCTTCTCTTTCCTGTTGTAACGTTCTTGTGTAAGCTTCTTGTGGGCACAGTTTGACAATTACTTGATCAGTAGAAAACGTTTATTGCACATCAGTTTGTTCATACAAGCATTGTGATATTGGTATGATTTTCAGACAATGAAATCACTCTGAGGTATTGAGATGGTTTCCTGAAATGTTTTAAGGACGTAGGCCGGTTCTGCATTAAGAGTATTTGACTTTTTCTAAGAAACATTTTTTTCTGAAAGGCTTCTTGCTGTAGAGTAAAATGTCCTTTACATCAGAAATGACGCTATAATGCTTACCAGGCAGTTCTTTCATCAAGTTTGGGAAAAGAATACGGAGGATGTTGAATGTGTTAAAGTCATAGTCACGCTTTGCAGCCATGGCGACAAAAGACTTGCACACAGATACATTGTCCTGTTGGAACAGCACACCTTTAGTGAGTTTTCCACGACGTTTGATATATTGCCTTAGCAGATTAGCATAAAGGACCGACCATTTGATATTCCTGGGACATTTTACACACACACACACACACACACACACACACACACACACACACACACATTCTTGAAAAAGATGTATTATGCTTCAGACTGTTCATTAAAAAAAGCCAAAACATTCTTGTAAGGTATTTCTCGAAAATAATTCAGGTTCATAAGTTCCAACAATTAAATAACTGATTTTGTAGCAGTTTTTGATATGAAAATCCAGCCCTCAACCCCACCTCTCAGAATATCAATTGGTAGATCCCCAATGTTGGTCATTAATGGTCTTGACTTTCGGTGGCCAACCTGTAGATTTATTTGGAATCCAAGAAAACCGAAGGTATCAGTCTTTGCCTTCTTCGAAGGAGGAGACTTTCGATGTTTCCACTGTCTTGACTGTTGTTTAGTCTCTGGCTGCTCGTGGTGAACCCAAGATACAGCCATGATTACAGCTCAACAAAATCAGCTGCTTCAAAACAAAGCTTCAAATTTTCACGAGTGATGATGAACCTAGGGTGTTTTTGAGCTGGAGTCAGAAGCCTAGGAACCCAGCCCATGCTGCAACCGTTGTCATGTGCGCTTCATTCCGCGGAATGTTCTAAACTCGCCCATGAGACATGTGTACTGTAATGACTATTTGATGTGTCGTCGATCATCCATAATCATATGACGTATTTCATTAACACTTTCCTCAAAGTGGTAGTTGAAGGTCTGTCTGATCTTGAATCATCCTCGAGGCTCTCTCTTCCTCTCCGCACCAACCTCTTAATAGAAGGAGCATTATCTCCTAAAGTTGCCCGCATGAATGTCTGTTGGGAGTAGTCACGTTCATGCCTACAGAAAAATGCTTACTTTTTGTGTATTTGGCTCAAATGCAACATGAAAGCATGGCATGTATTGTACTTAAGACATGCACACTCTTAGGGTTGTACTGTACATGAGAACCTTTCAACCAGCCCTCGTATATGTGTCATGTCTTGTTGCGTTAAGGATGTTGCGTTCGTACCTGCGTACACGTGTGTGTGTTTGTTGGTCTTGCCGCAAGTAGCAATACTTCAGAATTTGGCCTGTCATAAAGGCCAATGATATTAAAACCAATATCCACGCCGTAGGGTTACGAGGACATGCTGTTTGCCGAGGCACCGAGCCTGGCCACTTGATCCATTAAGTCTCTCCTCACGGCAGCATAGATGGGAACAAAACCTGTCATAATCTGTCAGAGGAGGAACCGAGGCTCCTGGGATGTATTCAAATGAAGGACCACACGCCACTAAGGACAACGTCTGGACCTCATCTCAAAGGGGGCTTCAGATCATGTCCCTCTTAATGATGCTCTCGCTCGGAAAATACAAGCATTCTGGCGCTCGGCTGACATCACCATGGCATATGTTCAACTTGAATAAGTATATTGACAAAAATCGGAAAACCGTCGATGATCTTCCTGGCATTTTCATCTGAAACATCTCCATATTATTCAAAACGTTATGCCTAAGGTATATGAGTAGAGACGTCAAGCCAGTTTCTTCCAAATCACTCTCCAACCTTGAATCAATTGTTATCAGGTCTGACAGAACAGCTCTTGTTTAACAACATCCAAAACAGGAGACAGTAATCTGACTCTGGCTCTTGCACGACCTGGAAGTATCACAACAACCAGCACAGAAGTTTTCTTAACAGCACCTCCACAAGTTGATTCAGTTGATATGATCTCATTTACTAAGATAGAAAACTCGAAGCAGAATAATGCAGCATATTTTTATTTACGTAACAAATAATGTCCATTGGTCCGACGTATGCTGATTGTATTTGGTTGCATGCATAATTATCTAAGTTGATCTGGGTGAGGTTACGTGTGATGCGAACCAACCCAAATCATGTATACAGTCGATCCATACACAGCTTCATTAAACCAATATATTACTGAACAGGAAGTCTCTAACTGTTTTGATAATCTTGCAAATAATAAATCTCAAGGACCAGATGGCATCTCAACTGAGTTCTTTAAAGCATCAAAACCTTACACAATTTCTCTCTTTACGTTAATAGTTAATAAGATATTCCAAGACGGATGTTTTCCTGATATCTGGGGGGGAAGCATTATTTGTCCGAACTTCAAATCTGGTGTGAAGGCTGACCCCAACAACTACAGAGGTATATCACCGATAGACTCTGTGTGTAAGATATTACTTCTATTTTAAACAATCGGTTACGACAGTGTTGTGATCAAAATACTATTATTCATGAGACACAAGCAGGATTCAGATCAAATTATTCCACTGCTGATCACATAGTTTCACTCTATGCAATGATCAAGAAATACGCCTGCAAAAAGAAAGGGAAATTCTGCTGTTTGTTTATTGATTTTGCAAAAGCCTTTGATACTGTCAAACATGACGTATTACTGTCAAGCCTTACAATGAGGTATAAATGGGAAACTCTTCAAAAAATATATAATCTATTTGCTCTCATGTCGCTGATACTGCATTACATATACAAAAAAAGATGATTGGTTTGGATTATCTTCGTGAATTAACTGGTATGAAAGTAAATGTGAAAAAGACTTAGGTTACCGTATTTCGTAACAGCGGCCCACTGCGACACTATGAGAATTGGTCTCTTCACGGCCAGAAGCTTGAGGTGGTGTCATTTATAGATATGTAGGTATAGTATTTACACCCAGACTAGTTTGGACTAAAGCACAGTTCTGCCTTGCATGACAAGCAAATAAAGCCCTTATACAGGTATCAAAAGTAGAGTAGGTAATAATAATTGATCTGATCTTTTCAGGATTTTTTATGCAATGGTTACACCAATATTGTGCTATGGGTCAGAAATCTGGGAAACAACATATTGTAAAACTACTGAAAATGTTCAGATAGGAATGTGCAAATATTTCCTGAAAGTTGGTAAAAGTACAAGCAATAATATAGTACTGATAGAATGTGGTAGAGCTCCACTTCAGCTTACTTACATGTCACTGGCAGTTAAGTTCTGGTGTAGACGAATCAATCTTGATAGAAATAGGGTACCTCATCAATGTTTTTTAATGTTAAAGTCTCTTGGTGATGCTGGCAGAATCACATGGGCTACACTTATCAAACATATTCTATTTCAATTTGAGTTTGGTTTTGTATGGATTACCTAGGATGTTGGGAATATTTACATTTTTATCATATTTAAAAAAAGACTTCTTGATGATTTTAAACAAAACTGGTAGTCTACACTACACTCTTCTCATAAATGTGCTAACTATGTGTTATATAAGACCCTTTTACATGTGGAAACATACATATGCATTGCTATTTTTGCATATGCCTTTATATTTGAGAATTTGTTTAACAAGATTTAGATGTGGCAATTTTAGACTTATGACAGTGAGTGAGTGAGTTTGGTTTTACACCGCTTTTAGCAATATTCCAGCAATATCACGGCGGGGGACACCAGAAATGGGCTTCACACATTGTACCCATGTCGGGATTCGGACCCGGGACTTCGGCGTGACGAGCGAACGCTTTAACCACTAGGCTACCCGACCGCCCCTAGACTTATGACAGAAACAGGAAGATACACTGATATACCATACCATTGAAGACTGTGTCCTCATTGTTGGCTAAATGACAAAATGTACTTAGAAGACGAGATCATGGTTTACTTGTATGTCATGCATATACCTCTATTAGAAAAAAAGTATATAAGTAAATACATCAGAAATGACAGTGCAGTAAACATATTCATAAATATTATGAACACTCAAAATACACAGTGATCTGTATGTACCTTTTCAATGTGCGAAAAATAAGAAATATCTTCAATACCACTTAATATACCTATTAACCAGTTAATACACCTCTCTCTCTGTGCGTGCGTGCGTGCGTGCGTGCGTGCGTGCGTGCGTGTGAAATGAAACTTCTATGTCTGTATTTGGGGCCACTGGCCTCTATACTGAATAAATTGTCTTGTCTTGCATGCATAATTATGAATCTTATCCTTGAAACAGATGAAGTTGTGAAAGAAATTAGGTACATCCAAACTGAAAAAGGCACAGATGTCTCAGAGATCAATTACATGGTCAGGTCGTGAACACTGCCTTAACTCTTCCTAACAGCGTCATGTATCGGGACTTCTGGGCGTCATATTCCGCCCGGTAGGCTGGATCGGCTGGGCCCCAGTCCGGCTTGGCACTCAAAGGAGCCTGAAGAATCCACACATAGAACAATACAGTCAAGGTTATACATCTCTTACGGACCTACCAATGTGTACATGTGTCAAATGATACTGGACGTACACATACAGTGACGGTTTATGCATCTGAAAGAGAAATTGAGTAAGTTGTGATGCAGTCCCGGTTGGTTCACTTCAAGAACAGCGATTCACCCTACCAGGTTCTTTGAAAACACAATCAGCCCACTCGTCTAAGGCACAGCATAGTTGCGTCCTTTGGGCACGCCAGAAACCTATGGTCGTGGGTTCGAATCCAGAGTCGTCCCGATTATGGTTCTAGGTTTGTCAGTAGTAAACTTGTGCTCATTGGTTTCAAGTCCAGGGCATGCATCACTTCGGGCTGTCTTTCCACATAAAGCTGACACGCCACGATATAACCAGAATACTGTTCGAAGCGGCATAAAACCCAACTCACTCACTCACTCACTTTACTACAATCAGTTAAAGATGAGGCAATGATGAATGGTACTGCACAGTGCCTCCATATTTCAAAATATCACAGTTAGTGTTTCCAAGATAAACTTCTCTTCTAGTGTCAAACGATTAAGAGTTCACATTGATTTATATGTCAGCATAGTTCTTCTTAGCATTGACCATAGTAGCAGTCTCCTTTACGGCATTAAGCATCGTCAGGTGCGTGTACAGAAAATCCAAAACACAGCCTCTAGAATAATTACCAGAACATCCAAGTGGTCACTGATAGCACCAACGCTCCAGAATCTGCACTGGTTGCCAGTCGACGCAAAGATCCGGCTTAAAACCAAATGCTTGCCATACCAAGGTCTTGCACCGTCATACCTTACTGAACTTCTCTCTACATACATTTTGTTTATTGTTTAACGCCGCACTCAGCAATATTCCAGCCATATGACGGCGGTCGGTAAATAATCGAGTCAACCTAGTCAGCGAGCCTGCCCTCCCGATCCCGTTAGTCGCCTCTTACGACAAGCATGGTCACCTTTTACAGCCTCTGTCTACTTACAAACCTGAACGCAGCCTCTGAAAACCAGAACTTTTTGTCTGAATCTGAAACTGTTTGGGCTAAGATCTTTGGCTATTGCGCCACCCACGCTGTGGAACAGACTACCAACTCTCTTGAGGAATGCTCCACTACTGGACTCTTTCAGATCCATGCTCAAAACCCATCTATTCTTACTCAACAGTGTCTCTTACTTTCAACAGTGTCTCTTACTTTCAACAATGTCTCTTACTTTTCAACAGTGTCTCTTACTTTCAACAATGTCTCTTACTTTCAACAGTGTCTCTTACTTTTCAACAGTGTCTCTTACTTTCAACAGTGTCTCTTACTTTTCAACAGTGTCTCTAACTTTCAACAGTGTCTCTTACTTTTTAACAGTGTCCCTTACTTTTCAAAAGTGTCTCTTACTTTTCAAAAGTGTCTCTTACTTTTCAACAGTGTCTCTTACTTTCAACAGTGTCTCTTACTTTTCAACAGTGTCTCTTACTTTCAACAGTGTCTCTTACTTTTCAACAGTGTCCCTTACTTTTCAACAGTGCATTAAAGTGCATTACAAAGACCCTTCTTTTGTCATTATTTTAATTATTATCATAGTCAGTCACACAATCAGCCTCTACAACAATCAGTCACACAGTCAACTCTCACAACAAGCAGTCACACATTCAGCCACATATTCAGTTCTTTCAAGAATCAGTCATATGGTCAGCTCTTAATCTGCCACACAGTCAGCCACATAAAACGCGCAATATAAACTCATATTTCATTTCCGTGGCGTTGATCTTTGCCCTTCATCGCGGCTCTATCCGGAAGAAATAGTGTTCCCTACAAGCCACCTTGTGATGGACGAATAATGTATAGCAACTCAACTTCTCTCTCCCCCAAAACACTTTCTCACAGGAGAATGTTTCTCAATGTTTCTTCCCCTTCCCCTTTTACGACACGCTTGTCGGTAAAGGCGACTAACGGGATCGGGTGGTCAGGCTCGCTGACTTGGTTGATGCATGTCATCGATCCCAATTGCGTGGATCGATGCTCATGATATTAATCACTGGATTGTCTGGTCCAGATTCGATTATTTACAGACCGCCGCCATATAGGTGGAATATTGCTGAGTACGGCGTTAAACAACAAACCAACCAACCCCTTTTACGTTATACTTTTAACTTCTTTAAGAGGCGTTTAGAAGTTGGAGCTCTAAGTAGGGATACGATTTATGGATGACGACTTGCTTGATAACGGTGTTAGAACCTACATCGAAACGTCGCTCCGGTGTTAGAACCTACACCGAAACGTCGCTCCTAATTGTAATAAAGAAGTTGTCACCTGCTTGATAACGGTGTTAGAACCTACACCGAAACGTCGCTCCTAATTAATAAAGAAGTTGTTCATCCATAAATATTATCCTTACTTAGTTATCCTGTTAATCTTACCTGATTTCTAACAAGAACGAACGAGACCACAACAAACACTGGAATCGGCGCAAGCGGTACCAGGGAAATGAACCAGCCCATCACTTCAGCCCACACGGGGAAACTGTAGCTACCATAAAATAGTCCGTGTTCTTGAGAGAGGGATAGAAGCAACAGCAACTGTAAGGTAAGACGAGAAGTACAGTTACCCAATACAGATTTTAATCTATAACCAGATAATGGAATTATATTACATTCGAAATGTTAAATGTGACGATACTTACATCTTATATTCTGGTTTACATGTAATAATATTAACATGTATCAATTTCAGGGCGTATGCGGCTTGACAAACTGCACTCGAACTTTGGTTTCACACGACCTTGCAGATTATGAAATCCAAAACGCCCTGCTAATATCAGATCAAGCCCCAAAGACATGGTTTGGTTTGGTTTGTTGTTTTACGCTGCACTCAGCAATATTCCAGCTATATGACGGCGGTGTGTAAATAATCGAGCCTGGACCAGACAATCCAGTGATTTACATCATGAACATCGATCCACGCAATTGGGATCGACGACATGCATCAACCAAGTCAGCGAGCCTGACCACCCGATCCCGTTAGTCGCCTTTTACGACAACCATACCCCCTTTTACGGCAAGCACGGGTTGCTGAAGACCTATTCTACCCCGGAATCTTCACGGGTCCCAAAGACATGGAGCATCAAGAACCCCAATGGTCGAGGATATCCTGAGTGACTAGACGTACTAAACAACAACTAATGTTCAAGCATCATTACCAGAATAACAAGAGGAAGTACGAAACACCAGATGAACTTGAAGACGACAGGAGGTCGTAGACCAGTCATCATCTTGATGTCTCTGCTAAACTGATCCATGCCTGAAATATAACGCTTGTTGCAATGGTTTTATGCTTTTATGTTTGGACTGCACACATACATCCATGTATCCGTTGAAAGTGACTATATCGGTAACTTGGTATATATGACACATGTGGATCTCCTTTATCAGTGAAACATAACCTTGACAAAGGTAGTAAACATAACCTTGACAAAGGTAGTAAACATAACCTTGACAAAGGTAGTAAACATAACCTTCACAAAGGTCGTAAACATAACCTTGACAAAGGCAGTAAACATAACCTTGACAAAGGTAGTAAACATAAACTTGACAAAGGCAGTAAACATAACCTTGACAAAGGTAGTAAACATAACCTTGACAAAGGTAGTAAACATAACCTTGACAAAGGTAGTAAACATAACCTTGACAAAGGCAGTAAACATAACCTTGACAAAGGTAGTAAACATAACCTTGACAAAGGTAGTAAACATAACCTTGACAAAGGTAGTAAACATAAACATGACAAAGGCAGAAACATAACATTAACAAAGGTAGTAAACATAACCTTGACAAAGGCAGTAAACATAACCTTGACAAAGGTAGTAAACATAAACTTGACAAAGGCAGTAAACATAACCTTGACAAAGGTAGTAAACATAACCTTGACAAAGGTAGTAAACATAACCTTGACAAAGGCAGTAAACATAACCTTGACAAAGGTAGTAAACATAACCTTGACAAAGGTAGTAAACATAAACTTGACAAAGGCAGAAACATAACCTTGACAAAGGTAGTAAACATAAACTTGACAAAGGTAGTAAACATAACCTTGACAAAGGTAGTAAACATAACCTTGACAAAGGTAGTAAACATAAACTTGACAAAGGCAGTGAACATAACCTTGACAAAGGTAGAAACATAACCTTGACAAAGGTAGTAAACATAAACTTGACAAAGGTAGTAAACATAACCTTGACAAAGGTAGTAAACATAACCTTAACAAAGGTAGTAAACATAACCTTGACAAAGGTAGTAAACATAAACTTGACAAAGGCAGTGAACATAACATTAACAAAGGTAGTAAACATAAACTTGACAAAGGTAGTAAACATAAACTTGACAAAGGTAGTAAACATAACCTTGACAAAGGTAGTAAACATTACCTTGACAAAGGTAGTAAACATAACCTTGACAAAGGTAGTAAACATAACCTTGACAAAGGTAGTAAACATAAACTTGACAAAGGCAGTGAACATAACCTTGACAAAGGTAGTAAACATAAACTTGACAAAGGCAGTGAACATAACCTTGACAAAGGTAGAAACATAACCTTAACAAAGGTAGTAAACATAACCTTAACAAAGGTAGTAAACATAACCTTGACAGAGGTAGTAAACATAAACATGACAAAGGTAGTAAACATAACTTGACAAAGGTGGTATCGAGCCAATCGTCTCCAGCGCTTTATTTCACTGTGCATAGTTGGAGTGATTGAGTGAGTGAGTGAGTGAGTCTATCGATTTGCTTGCGCAACCGGATGTGTCACAAATTTTGGTTTGGTAAACGATAGTTTATTATATCATTAAAATGGTATCAAGATGACGAGTATAGTATTATGTATCTATATGTACGATTTTAGGATCAATGTTTCCCTCAATCTTTGTCTGTAGTTTTAATGAAGTCTATATCGTAAATACAATATGTTAATGTTTTTGTGTGTAACAGGTGTTCAGGCAGTGTTTGTAGGAATGGCGGAAGTGGCCGGGAACCTTCCAGTATCCAATTTGTGGAGCTTTGCATTGTTCTTCCTGGTTCTGTTGATTGGGCTCAACATGCAGGTAAGGTCTATATCCGAGAGTGAGTGAGTGAGTGAGTGAGTGAGTGAGTGAGTGAGTGAGTGAGTGAGTGAGTTGGGTTTAACGCCGCTTTTAACATTATTCTAGTTATATCACGGCGTGTCAGCTGAATGTGGGGGGAAAGCCCGAAGTGATGCAGGTCTCCGACGTTTACCGATTCGGTGAAACCAACGAGCACGGGTATGGTGCTGAGAAACCTAGAAACATAATCGGGGCGAACCGGGATTCGAACCCACAATCATCGGTTTCTGACGTGCCAAAGGGACGCAGCTCTGCACAGCGGCGCCTTAAACGACTGGGCCATCCGTGCCCCCGTCCACAGTTGGATGTCATAAACCTATGACAGTGTGCTCGAATCCCATATTCTGCTGAAATTTGATCATCGGTTCCCATGCTCGTGGTTGTCAGCAAAATAGCAAACGTCTAAGAACTGCATCACATCAGTCTGGCCTCCCACATTAAACAGTGATGTACTGAAATACTGTTCAACACGGCCCAAAACACAACTTTCTTAACCATTTTTGAAAAAAAACTTCATGAAAATCAAAAGTTAGGTGAGGTGAAATGGGGTTGAACGTCGCGTCCAAGATTATTGCACTTATATAGCGACGTGCATGTACGTGTGTGTGTTTGTGTGGCTGCTTGTACTAGTCCGGACTGATGCTGATTTATAGTGCTAGCTCACTGAGATACCATGCCGCAGTTTAACATGAATACCCCACTCAGACACAGTATACTGACTCCGAGCCGACCAGTCCTTGGTTTAGCCCCTTAATGCCGAGCGCCAGACAGGGTAACAACAAGTACCATCTTTTAACGTCTTTTGGTATGACGCGGTCGGGGATCGAACCCCGGACCTTCCGCTCTCCGGGCGGACGCTCTACCACTAGACGACGGAGGCGGTCAAAATCAAAAGTGATTATTGACAAAATATACTTTTCCAGTTAAGTGTAAAACAATCATGAATATGTTGTATGTGTATGGAAGTACATGGCAGCCATTGCATTGCATCTCATATTATGTTTTGAATTATTTTGTCTTCAGCAGTAAGAGCTGAGAGGTGACTAAAGCGTATTTCAGTTTACATACCATATATCCATCCGACTGTCAGGAACTGTAGGAAACCTAGTATATAGACAGAAAGCCTCATAGCACTGACATCGACCATAGAGAAAAAGTACACTCCGCCCTGAAAATTAAAGACAAAGATAATAAACAACGCAAGAATATATGTACTACCATGTCTCTATTTGTAACTTTACTTCTTCATATACATATACTACTATGCTATTATTTACCCACTTGTTCCACTTGCTCCATTGCTGACGAAGCCATAAGTGAAATTTTCATCTTTGTCAGATCATGTGAAATATCGATTTTTTTCCTTTAATGTTATATTGCTTTTTTCGAGGGCAATTTCGGCTTCATATTGTCATATAAATATAGTTTGTTTTTGTTTTTTTGTGTTGTTTAACGCCGCACTCAGCACAATGTAAGCTGTGTGGCGTCAGTCTATAATTACTCGAGTCCGGGCCAGACAATCCAGTTTTGACACCATGAGCATTGATCTCGAAAATTCGGATACGATGACATGCATCAACCAAGTCAGTGAGCCTGACCACCCGATCTCGTTATTCGCCACTTATTATTAATATAGTATTCCATCACAAAGTAATCAAAAGACTATTTCAAAAAGTCGCCCGTATTCAGAATGACAGGTTTAATAATGAAAAAAAGGTAAAATGTTATAATGAATTATCCAGGATTCAATTTATATTCCGACCGTCTGTGACACGTGGGTGTTGGTGATCTGGTGCCTGCTTTTTTTGAATGAGTGAGTGAGTGAGTGAGTTGGGTTTAACGCCGCTTTTAATAGTATTACAGTTATATCGCGGCGTGTCAGCTTAATGTGGGAGGAAAGCCGGAAGTGATGCAGGTCTCCGACGTTTACCACTTCGGTGAAACCCACGGGTATGGTGCTGACAAACCTAGAAACATAATCGGGGCGAACCGGGATTCGAACCCACAATCATAGGTTTCTGGCGTGCCCAAGGGACGCAACTCTGCACAGCGAATCGCGGCGCCTCAGACGACTGGGCCACCCGTGCCCCCCTTTTTTAGAGCGTCGTACTACAGATGTGTGGGAACGTGGTCCCGTGCACAGCGTATAGAGTGTACAGCGTATAGAGTGTACAGCGTATAGAGTGTACAGCGTATGGATAATGTGTGACCGTGCTCCACACTGAAGAACAGTGAACGGGTACCGGATAGGACGAGATGGCAATGTGACTGTTAACCTTACAGCGCCTCATAAGGCAATTTTGGGTTGTGTACTCCCAAGGAAGTCGAGAACGAAATTCGACTGCACATTAAGCCATTGACCATGGCTAATAATGTAGCGCTTTGCGTCTGCTGTTTGGTGTGGATTTGGCGCACAGCCATGTTTAGTCAAACGTATTTCAGCCCTTCAGCACATCGCGGCGAGATACAATTAAAGAGCATGGACAAAGTGCTGAGGTCAAAATTTAACATATTGCAAAAATCAGACTGTACATGTGAAACCGCACTGCCTACTACACATACTAATAGTCCAAAATACATGTAAGTTGGAACAATAACGACCACGCAACGGCCATAACGTTTCTTAAAGTAACTACTCTGTGGGCCATTTTGAAAACCAGATTTGAACCTGTAAAGTCACTTCGTGAAAATATTTTTTTAATTGGTGTATACGATTATACCTAATGATGAAAGTATTTCTATGCAATTTTGCATTTACAAAATTGTTTGTATTTAATGTTATTTCATTCTCTAAAGTTATATAAATGTTCATGTGAAGTGTTTGGACTTACCCTGGAAAGGTAAGGAAGTGTGAACAAGAAGGACCCGCCACAGAAGCATGCGGTGATAAGGAGTCTGAGGAGCCGAGATCGCCGTGGCAAACAGTCAAGCACTGCCGTTATTACAACTTCTGCAAAAATTATCTGAAATAGATTTCGTAATATTATTATATACATCTATTCTAAAATCATTTATGGGATAAGGTGGCCCAGTGGTCTAAGGCCGTGAAATTTCCGGGCTTACATTTCCAAAGTAATGTTTCTATGATCCTGGGTTCGATTCCCAGGTTCAACCTGGTTATAATCAATGGTTTGTCTGCACCATATCGTTCCCTTGGGTTTCACCAAAGTGGTAAAGGTATAAGGCCTACATCAGTCACCAAGAGGTGTAATAGATATAGGCAACTTAATGAAGGCACTAAAGAGTGAGTGAGTATAGTTTTACGCCGCTTTTAGCACACCAGAAATGGGCTTCACACATTGTACCCATGTCGGGAATCGAACCCGGGTCTTCGGCGTGACGAGCGAACGCGTTAACCACTAGGCTACCCGACCGCCCCGAAGGCACTAAAGAAACTCTGAGATGAATAAAGTTTATTCAAACCATTCTCAGAGGGCAACAGTCGTCAATTTGTTCTCAAGCTCAGATATTGAAAATCGCGAGATTTGCAAAATAACTGATCACAAAACTGATGAGTGGGTGAAGTTGCATTCCAGCCCAACCCCGGATCAGAAACGGCACTAATCGAGCTTTCTTCGGCGACAGCTAATGAACGGAGTTTGGTCCCTGTCCAAGGAAGAACTAGAAGACCACTGTCCACTTCTCCAGTAAAGAACTTAAGTTCTTCTGATAATGGCCCTATGGTCTCTTTCAATGTGCAGTTCTAATGTGACAGTAAAAATTATTTCCATCCCAACTAAGCAGCATGACTGCAAATGTTTCACATGACTTGCTTCTGCCACCACCTCAATTATAGGCGAGTTGTCACTATCCTGGATAGGGGTCATATAACATGCAGGTCTTCTTTAATTTGACTTGTTTTGTATCTTAAAGAAACACATGCCTACAAATTAAAAATGAGAAATTCAATAAAAAAAACTATGAATTGAAATACATGATTTTCTCGTGTTATTATCTTTTTTTAAGAAATTGGCCGTGAAAACGTATTTAAACCTTAGGTCAAATGAACCATCATAATGAGATTGGGGCGGTCGGGTAGCCTAGTGGTTAAAGCGTTCGCTCGTCACGCCGAAGACCAGGGTTCGAATCCCGACATAGGTACAATGTGTGAAGCCCATTTCTGGTGTCCCCTGCCGTGATATTTCTGGAATATTGCTAAAAGCGGCGTTAAACCAAACTCACTCACTCTTCACATATTTAATACATTTGGATGAAAATCTTATAATTTATTGTGGCCTTGGTACTTTCATTTTAGAAAGTATGGTGCTCAGAATTCTTTTGCCCTTGTTGCAGCCAAACAGGACCGAGTCCCATTATGATATTCGACCCACATACTTTCTGACCTGAGGTCAGACGCCTTGTCCACTTGATCAAATAAATTAACCCTGTCAAAGTAGGGATGACAAAGTGGGATGACTCCACGCCCTGCTTCACATGTAAATTAGATTACCTTGAAACCAGTGATTAGTGTCGTGCGTTATGCGCTAAGTAAATGAGTTCCTTGATTTAATATAACTTTCATGTCAATAAACATCATGTTTTGTATGATTTACGTGATGTTATCATGAATGGATGTTCATATTTTCTTTTTTTACGGCGTCGTGTGCAAAACAAATTTCCGTACATCCATTCAGCACAATATCACGAGTAAATGACACTTTTTTGTGGATAACTTCTTCTATACTTTGTCAGGACGTTTCAGAGCTACGTCTTGCGTCTTCATCAGGTGAATGAAACTCATTTATTCATGTTTTCTCAACTTCTAAATGCCTATCAAAGACAGCATAACATCACGCAAATCTTACAAAACGAAATAGGCCTATATTTTTCTAATTATTTAACAAGGGTTAACGAATGGCCTTTCCCCCACTGGCCACCTACTAATTTCAGTATTACAGACATAGTTGTGAATACTGATCAGAACATAACCACAGCACTAGTCACGCAGCTCTTGTCTCTTATTGGATTCTCAGATAAAGATGTGCGTTCGAATCCCGGTTCGCCCCGATTATGTTTCTAGGTTTGTCAGCACCATAACCGTGCTCGTGGGTTTCACCGAAGTGGTAAACGTCGGAGACCTGCATCACTTCGGGCTTTCCTCCCACATTAAGCTGGCACGCCGTGATATAACTAGAATACTGTTAAAAGCGGCATTAAACCCAACTCACTCGCTCACTCACTCACTCACTCTCGGATATAGACCTTACCTGTATGTTGAGCCCAATCAACAGAACCAGGAAGAATAATGCAAAGCCCCACAAATTGGATCCTGGAAGGTTCCCAACCACTTCCGCCATTGCTACAAACACTGCCTGAACACCTGTTATACACAAAAACATTAACATATTGTATTCAGATATAAACTTCATTAAAACTACAGACAAAGATTGAGGGAAACATTGATCGATGATCCTAAAATCTTACAGACAGATACATATAGAGAATACAACACTCGTTATCTTGATACCATGTTAATAATAGAATTAACATCTATCGTTTCTGGCGGAGCGAAATTTTCGTTCGTTTACCAAACCCAAATTTGTGACACATCTGGTTGCGCAAGCAATTCGATAGATGCCTAAACATACGCCTGTATGAAGAGTTCCTGCTGCTCTTGTGCACAAGTGAGTGAGTGAGTGAGTGAGTTGGGTTTAGCGCCGCTTTTAACAGTATTCCAGTTATATCGCAGCATGTCAGCTTAATGTGGGAGGAAAGCCCGAAGTGATGCAGGTCTCACACGTTTACCACTTCGGTGAAACCCACGAGCACGGGTATGGTGCTGACAAACCTAGAAACATAATCGGGGCGAACCGGGATTCGAACCAACAATCATAGGTTTCTGGCGTGACCAAGGGACGCGATTCTGCACAGCGAATCGCGGCGCCTTAGACGACTGGGCCACCACCGACATTAAGCTGACACGCCGCGATATAACTGGAATACTGTTTCAAGCGTCGTTAAAACCAACTCACTCACTCACTCATCCACAAATTTTCGCACGATTGGTATCCGGAGTGTCCCGCACGAGTGATCTGGGTTGTCTTTCATAAAACATTTCGAAAACAGTGCCACAAAATATGCTTGTATGGAGACACAGGTGACACAGCCGCAAGAGGTAAGTAAGTCTATGTATGGTTCGAAGTTTTCTCAAATGATTTCATTTCACCTCGCTGAATAGTGTATTGAAAGTCGGTTGCGATAGGCACAGATGTAGGCCTCGTCCAATGTGTCTGCATGGTAAAGTTGAAAAAGATTTAAGTGCGTCACGTCACGTGCTTGTTAAGATTCACAAAGAGTGAATATCACAGACAGTTCGAGACCAAAACATCGCCACAAAACTGAATTACAGGAGGGAGAATTTATACTTCACAATACTTAACATTCCCTTCATGTCGAGCAATATTCTATCAGCTCCAGTCTGTGCTGTCTACAGTTAAAAAAGCGTCATACGACACTGGCTCAAAAGGTGTTTGATCAAGGTTACAACATTCAAGGCCTAAATTAAGCTTTAAAAAGTCTAATGGTAGCCATGGAGAGGACATTTCCAAATCATTTAATGTGACGCTTCTGTGACAAAAATGAAATCCGATGCAATTCCCTATTTTTCTTTGTACCAGATGCTTCCGTGTTTGTTCCGGTGACACTTGACATGGATTTGCATGTCTTTGTCACGCGCCACCTGTGGGACGGGATACCCTTACGTTTTATCGCTCATCTGATTTCATTACTATTTGATAGTGATGTAAAAATAACAACGACAAAACCCTTTCCATTCTCACAGGATTTCTTCGTCAAAAACAAAGTCGATTGAACGATTCCGACTGAATCATGAGCATGTGTTGTATTCCCGACATGGGTACAATGTGTGAAGCCCATTTCTGGTGTCCCCCCGCCGTGATATTGCTGGAATATTGCTAAAAGCGGCGTAAAACTATACTCACTCACTCCATTAATTCATGTTCAGGAAAAACTGCGGCCTCGCTTTTTTAACATAGTATTCAAGTGGTGAGTGAGTTAAATTTTACATCGCATCGGCAATAATTCAGCCATATAGCGAACATAGTATTCAATGAAGCGTTGGACACAACACAACTATATTAGCTCGTGCCAGGATCCGATGAGCTACGGTCTTAATCCCAGATTCGCCCTGCGCATGCTCCTTGGTGTCACTCACTCACTCATGCACGCACGCACGCTCGCACTCACTCACTCACTCACTCACTCACTCACTCACCCACCCACCCACCCACCCACGCACGCACGCACTCACTCACTCACTCACTCACTCACTCACTCACCCACCCACTCACTCACTCACTCACTCACCCACTATCTCACTCACTCACTCACTCACTCACCCAGCCACCCACTCACTTTCTCACTCACTCACTCACTCAACTGGTCATATGGTTGTACAGATGCAAAACTTACCTCTGTCAACTACGTTGCTCATCTCCACGTTTTTCTTCTCAGCCAATGCCCCGAAGAAGCTAAACACCACGATACTTGCAACAACCCCAACGCCGAGAGTTACACCATACACTATGAAGGAGTCTCTGAAAACAATAGAGAGCCATGATGTTTCATTTCTTATACCAGCCGTGATATTGCGGGAATATTGCTTAAAGCGGCGTAAAACCATACTCACTCACTCATGTCTTATGCTAATGACAATACCTGCTCATGAAACGAAATTAATTGAATTAAATTATATAAAGTATAAAATAACCACTAAAAACAACATAATGCCAATGCTTGCTCACGAAATTAATTAATTAAATTAACTATAACGTTAAATCTGAAAACAATAGTATTCATGATGGATAGTGGCAAACTTATGCCAACACTTGTTCATGAAAAACATAATTTAATTAAATTAAATATACGTTATGTCTGAAAACAATAGAAGCCACGATGCATCGTTTCTTATATGCCGATGGCAATAACTTTTCATGAAGTGGTGCGCGTTGTCTTCATATGTATTTGTTTTACATTGTTAATTGAATTACTGCCTTTAACAATGCAGCGCTAAGAATTAATGTGAATATGTATACGTCAAATGGCCCATTACACTGATAATGATAGGCCACGTATTTGTTGAGGGCCAGGTGAGCTAAGAAGTGATGAAGCTAAAACTGACCTCAGTGCTGTAGAGGTGAAGGGTTTGTAGCTTGACAGGGTGCTGATGATGCCTGTTGTCATCCCCGTTGTATACATTGCACTGAGGCATGCAGAGCTCCACGTCTGAATGGAAATATAGTCGCATGATATACCAAAAGATCTCAAGATACCATGATGAAGAGTTACATACATATGAAAATGGCCAAAATCATGAGTTACGAACGTTTATCGCTTATCAATTAACTGTTCGCCCTTATAACAGTGGCCGCCTCCATGGTCTAATGGTAGAGCGTCCGCCCGGAGAGCGGAAGGTCCGGGGTCTTATCCCCGGCCGCGTCCTACCAAAAGACGTTAAAAGATGGTACTTGTTGTTACCCTGTCTGGCGCTCAGCATTATTTGGCTAAAACAAGGACTGCTCGGCTCGGAGTCAGTATACTGTGTCTGATGTTAAACTGCGGCATGGTATCTCAGTGGGCTAGCACTATAAATCGACATCGGTCCGGACTAGTACCAGTAGTTGTCTTAAAATAAGTGGCGTGGGCCCCTTGAACACGCCTACTTCCGGTCTGAGTGTTTGGATCCACCGATAGTGGGTATGAATCCAAAATTCGTCCAATTAATGATCCTTGATTTGTGAGGGCCACATACCAGAGTTCAAGTAAGTATATGTATGCCACGTTTTGTGAAACGCCATGATACAACTAAATACTGTTCAAAGCGGCATAAAACTGCACTCACTTAAACACGTAAAGCAAACCTTACATGTACGTCCCAAAAAAGGTCTGCGGAGGGATAGAGGAGGTACCCTACACCTTCCAGTGATCCGGGTAGCGTCATGCCTCTTATAAACAGTGTCAGAAGGAGGCCGAAGATGAGTGGCACCGTGACGAGCACCACCTGGAGAGACGGTCAATTGACAGTCAGTGAGGGTATGACCATGTGGTATCATGTTCCAGAAAATACACGACAATCATATGTTGCCTTGAATGCTGAAAGAATGGTGTTGTGAAGAAAGACTCAATGTTAGGTGCCTCCTTACAGAGAACAGAGAGGATGTATTTAAACTGTGATTGAAAACAGACATACAGTCTCCAAAATTATAACCATTCCAAGATCAATCCCAAAGCCTGCACATACACCCTCCACATCATCCACACCACACCAAACCACACCACACCAAACCACACCATACCACTCCACACCACACCCATCAAACCATCCCACACCACACTACACTACACCACACTGCACCACACCCATCAAACCACCACACACACACACACACACTACACACCACACACCACACCCATCAAACCATCCCACACCACACTACACTACACCACACTGCACCACACCCATCAAACCACCACACACTACACACTTCCACACCACACCACACCACACTACGCACCACACTCATCAATCCACCACACACACACACACACACACACACACACTACACACTTCCACACCACACCACACCACACTACGCACCACACTCATCAAACCACCACACACACACACACACACACACTACACACTTCCACACCACACCACACCACACTACGCACCACACTCATCAAACCACCACACACACACACACTACACACACACACACCACACCACACCACACCACACCACACCACACCACACTACACACCACACACCACAGTCATCAAACCACCACACACACACACACTACACACTTCCACACCACACCACACTACACTACACACCACACACACACACACACTACACACTTCCACACCACACCACACTACACACCACACTGCACCACACCCATCAAACCACCACACACACACACACACTACACACTTCCACATCACACCACACCACACCACACTACACTACACACCACACACCACACTCATCAAACCACCACACACACACACTACACACTTCCACACCACACCACACCACACTACACACCACACACCACACTCATCAAACCACCACACACACACACACTACACACTTCCACACCACACCGCACCACACCACACCACACCACATCCATCACTACACACCACACTACACACCACACTGCACCACAAACACCCACACACTACACACTTCCACACCACACCACACCGCACCACACCACACCACACCCATCACTACACACACACACACCACACTGCACCACACCCATCAAACCATCCCACACCACAGTACGCTACACGACACCCATCCAACCAACCTACCCCACCCCCCACCACACCACACCATTCACACCACACCACACCACTGCACACCACACCCATCAAACCATCCAACACCACACTACACTACACCACACTGCTACACATCCATTAAACCATCCCACACACCTCACTACCACACACTACACACCCTCACCACACTACACCTATCACACCACACCACACCACACCACACCACACCACACCACACCACACCCACCACATGTGTCAATCACACCCTTTGCTGTTTCATTCTGTGAAATGGATAACTCGGTCACTTTAAGAGCAAGCAGTGTTATGTTGTGCTAATGGGCTGATTTATTTTCCATACCTTTCCAATAACCTTAACTCCCCAGAACAAAGCAGCAAATATGAGAACCACGGTGCCGAACCTACACCCGACCAGCTCCCACTGAAGTCCCCCGGGACTTTCGATTCCAGGGGAAATTTGCAAGACTCGATTTCTGCAATATAAAGGAAAAAAAACATCTTCATTCATAAAAAGTACGTGGCCTGATGTTCATAACGCAGGTCGCCACTGCATACGCTTCTATGACCTATTTCTCGGGAGTAGACAATGAACATACACGGAATAAATCCTGTATTGCTGCGTCCATTTACAGCGGCCTTAAACCCTAAACAATCACTCACTCGGGAAATCTGAAAACCAGAATAGCATAAGTGCACACTGGATGAATTTATTGGATGCATTAACACTAGAGCTTTTTCTCATCAAATATTATATAAACAATTTGTAATGGAAGTTCCCTTTTAAAATGTATAGATTTGTTTCCAAAAGATACAAATATTATTTCTATAAAATAATAATGAGCATAAGGTGTCACGTCATATCGCACAGCCAGAATACATGGATATACAGTAAACTACGGTTAAAACGAACTCAAAGGGACCACTAATTTTAGTTCGTTATAACCGTAGTTCGTTATAGGCATATATACAGCATATGTACAACAAATGGCCGGGACTAAAAATAAGTTCGTTATATCGGTCAGTTCGTTATAAGCGTGTTCGTTATAACCGTAGTTTACTGTACCTGTATCATACAATATTCAAAATAGGATAAAAACACACACAAACGTAAATTATTTTTATGGTCAGTGCTACAAGCCGCGTGTTAAAAAACTATGTTTAAAAACGCCATTCCACTTGGGCCAGTCAAACATAAAGGAGATACTATATAGTCATTAGGTCTAGGTAAATATATAAAACTGATTCAAACATAGAGTAAAATATATTTTGAAAATATGTTGTAGAGGTTTCTGCAAATATTTTACAATTAAAGTTAGGACAACTATAAAATATACAGTTTGTTACTATAAAATAGTTATTGACAATCTAGAATATATAGAACGGCAAGCACAACGATGGTCATAAAGTTCTACCAAATTCTTATCATCTATTGATCTTGTCAAGGATGTCATGTGTGCTAAGTTAGAAGACTATACAAACTTTATTTGTTTTTTGCGTCACAAGCAGTTTACAAACTTATTTCATGCTGTCATGATCTTGACCTTTAAAGCTAGCCATTCATACGTCATTGAAGACGACATAAATATATACACAGGTTAGTTCAAGTGTGAATGAAACAGTACAGATTTAATTGGATTTTAAACTTATTTCCAAACACTGCCATGCCTGCCATTTCAATTTTAAATGACAAATTGACTTTCTTAGAAAGGAGGATGTTTATTAAATCTTTTCCGAACAGAAAACGTTGATGCGAAGGCTACATTTTTTTAAAATAAAAAAAGCCTCCTTTCGTTGCCAAAAACATGAAGAACATGTGATCATACTGCTATCCTCAGTAGTGTTGAAGAAGAATTTGTGTAAGTTCCATCCGCTGACCACAGTGACCGGATCCTCACATGGCTAAGGGCCACAACCCTATACAACTATCTCTACTAATGATACTATACATTAAAAAACAGTATAATGTACATTATACTGTAGATGTCGTCACTGTGTTCATATATGAGTGAGTGAGTATGGTTTTACGCCGCTTTTAGCAATATTCAAGCAATATCACGGTGGGGGACACCAGAAATGGGCTTCGCACATTGTACCCATGTCGGGAATCGAACCCGGGTCTTCGGCGTGACGAAGGCTTTAACCACTAGGCTACCCGGCCGCCCCGTTCATATATTATGATTGCGCTTTGCCAATATACAAAGTTGGCCTTCATACAGGTGTTGAACATGATATGTTTCCAACTGGGCCTTACTCAAAGTATTCTTGTCCAGGAGACAACAGTCTTCTAGGTATGTAGGAGTCTCCACTCGAATTTAAGGGAAGGGTTTGACCGTCGAAGCATGATGGGGTGTTCCAGGAGTTACTGCAGGTTGACCATGGCAGGACGCTGGACCCTGACTGGAAGAGGTAGTACATCCCCCATGACGGGATGACGCCATACATGGGATGAACCACTGCATTCACGACGACCATTCCCACGCCTACACCTGCAACAAGGCAAATAAGAATACCGTTTTGACAACGACCACTCATGTCCCTACCTATATCGGCACTTGCAACAAGGAAAATAAGAATACAGTTTTGACAACGACCACTCATGTCCCTACCTATATCTGTACCTGCAACAAGGCAAATAAGAATAGAGTTTTCACAACGACCACTCATGTCCCTACCTATGTCTGCACTTGCAACAAGGCAAATAAGAATACAGTTTTGACAACGACCACTCATGTCCCTACCTATATCTGCACCTGCAACAAGGCAAATAAGAATACAGTTTTCACAACGACCACTCATGTCCCTACCTATATCTGTACCTGCAACAAGGCAAATAAGAATACAGTTTTCACAACGACCACTCATGTCCCTACCTATATCTGCACCTGCAACAAGGAAAATAAGAATACAGTTTTGACAACGACCACTCATGTCCCTACCTATATCTGCACCTGCAACAAGGCAAATAAGAATACAGTTTTCACAACGACCACTCATGTCCCTACCTATATCGGCACTTGCAACAAGGAAAATAAGAATACAGTTTTGACAACGACCACTCATGTCCCTACCTATATCTGCACCTGCAACAAGGCAAATAAGAATACAGTTTTCACAACGACCACTCATGTCCCTACCTATATCTGCACCTGCAACAAGGCAAATAAGAATACAGTTTTCACAACGACCACTCATGTCCCTACCTATATCTGCACTTGCAACAAGGCAAATAAGAATACAGTTTTCACAACGACCACTCATGTCCCTACCTATATCTGCACCTGCAACAAGGCAAATAAGAATACAGTTTTCACAACGACCACTCATGTCCCTACCTATATCTGTACCTGCAACAAGGCAAATAAGAATACAGTTTTCACAACGACCACTCATGTCCCTACCTATATCTGCACCTGCAACAAGGAAAATAAGAATACAGTTTTGACAACGACCACTCATGTCCCTACCTATATCTGCACCTGCAACAAGGCAAATAAGAATACAGTTTTCACAACGACCACTCATGTCCCTACCTATATCGGCACTTGCAACAAGGAAAATAAGAATACAGTTTTGACAACGACCACTCATGTCCCTACCTATATCTGCACCTGCAACAAGGCAAATAAGAATACAGTTTTCACAACGACCACTCATGTCCCTACCTATATCTGCACCTGCAACAAGGCAAATAAGAATACAGTTTTCACAACGACCACTCATGTCCCTACCTATATCTGCACCTGCAACAAGGCAAATAAGAATACAGTTTTCACAACGACCACTCATGTCCCTACCTATATCTGCACCTGCAACAAGGCAAATAAGAATACAGTTTTCACAACGACCACTCATGTCCCTACCTATATCTCCACCTGCAACAAAAAGGGAAGAAACACAGTCTTCCTGATGACCAACCCCAACCTAACCCGTAAAAGGTGAGAAATGCAGGTTCCATTACGTTCAACCCTACCCTGTTACTGTTACAGGCTCTTAAAGACCATTCCAGCGCCTACCGACACTTGCTAGGAGGAATTACTCGGCCACCTAGCGCCCATACCTTTAAGAGAGAGAGAGAGAGAGAGAGAGAGAGAGAGAGAGAGAGAGAGAGAGAGATATGACTGACTGTGTGGCTGAGAGAGAGGGGACTGGATGTAGCTGAGAGACAGAGAAGAGAGAGAGAGAGAGAGAGAGAGAGAGTGAGATACGATATGACTGACTGTGTGGCAGAGAGAGTGAGTGAGTGAGTGAGAGAGAGAAGGGGGAGAGGAGGGCTGGCTGTAGCTGAGAGAGAAAGAGAGACGGTGTGAGATAAGATATGACTGACTGTGAGGCTGAGAGATAGAGAGAGAGAGGGGGGCTGGCTGTAGCTGAGAGAGAGAGAGACACACACACAGAGAGACAGAGTGAGATACGATATGACTGACTGTGTGGCTGAGAGACAGAAGGGGAGAGGAGACTGGCTGTAGCTGAGAGAGAAAGAGAGACAAAGTGAGATAAGATATGACTGACTGTGTGGCTGAGAGAGAGAGGACTGCTTACCAGACAATGAGAGTGTAGATGGTACACATGTTTCATGAAATAATGCTTACCAGACAATGAGAGTGTAGATGGTACATACGTTTCATGAATTAATGCTTACCACATAATGAGAGTGAAGATGGTGCACATGTTTCATGAATTAATGCTTACCAGTTAATGAGAGTGTAGATGGTACACATGTTTCATGAAATAATTCTTAACAGACAATGAGAGTATAGATGGTACACATGTTTCATGAAATAATTCTTACCAGACAATGAGAGTATAGATGGTACACATGTTTCATGAAATAATTCTTAACAGACAATGAGAGTATAGATGGTACACATGTTTCATGAAATAATGCTTACCAGATAATGAGAGTATAGATGGTACATACGTTTCATGAATTAATGCTTACCACATAATGAGAGTGAAGATGGAACACATGTTTCATGAAATAATGCTTACCAGACAATAAGAGTATAGATGGTACATACGTTTCATGATTAATGCTTACCCCACAATGAGAGTGTAGATGGTACATGTGTTTTATACAATGGTTGTGTCTGTCAGTGTGACCTTACCTCTGAAGAGTGGACTGAAGTTCCAGATGTGGGCTGGGCCTCTGCCGCAGAACTGCCCCAGACTTAGATCCATGTAGAAGATGGGGACTCCGATCAGAAGGAGAAAGATGGCGTACAGGATCATGAAGACAACTGGGCAGTAGGACATGACAGAATGTCAATCACTGGATTGTCTGGTCCAGACTCGATTATTTACAGACCGCCGTCATAAAGCCGACAGACGGTAGTTTTGAAATAAAATAAACTCAAAACCTCAAACTCGTTATTCAATATTTTAGCTTTGTTCAAATAAAATGAAATAAAATGTTCAAAACCTCACTTTAACTTCAGCTTTCTCTTTTTCTGTCATCATGAACTAATTCAGAACTGCAAGAGCTATTTTAACATATTACATCCCTTGTGAGTTATCCAGCTAGACATTTATCTCCGAAAGTGTACATTCCATGAATAAATATATTCTCGTACAAACCTAAATATTGTCGCTAAACGTTAAATTCGCAACGATACAATACTGTCCCAGTAGTTGTTATGATTTCAAAAGACTATTTTATTCAAGCAGTACTAAATAAAGTAGCCCGTGAAGATCCGGGATAGAATAGGTCTTCAGCAACCCATGCTTGCCGTAAAAGGCGACTATGCTTCTCGTAAAAGGCGACTAACGGGATCGGGTGGTCAGGCTCGCTGACTTGGTTGATGCATGTCATCGTATCCCAATTGAGTGGGTCGATGCTCATGGTGTCAATCACTGGATTGTCTGGACCAGACTCGATTATTTACAGACCGCCATCATATAGCTGGAATATTGCTGAGTGCAGCGTTAAACAACAATCAAACAAACAAAAGTAAATAAAGTAAGCAAATGCCTCTGACGCCGAGGATCGGTGTATACAATATTTTCCTCGTGTTATATCATTCAATATATATCATGAATTTGAGCTATTGTGCTGCCAAGAATTATAAAAGGGATTCTTGGATTAGAACCAGCGATCATGCATTCTGGCACAGAGCATTAAGGTGACTTTGACGATTGAGTAACCAGTGCTCCCAGGGTTGACTGGGATGAAAGGCAAGCTTCACATTTTATATACTTTGCCAGTCATATTGTGTCATGGTTGCATTGTATTTAGACGAGACTGTCTGCATTTCCACATCACAGTGCCTGTAAATTGTCTAAATTCTTACCTGCAAGTACCCAATTATTGTCTATTTATCTAAGTGTACCTTCAAGTTGTCAACTTGTACTCACCTTACGTATATGTATTGCCCACATGAAAGCGCCCTAATAATGCGTACACGAACACGTTAGAACTCTAATATTGCCTACGTACGTGTCTAAATGAACGTGAAGTTAGGTAATAATTGAAGGGTTGGCATGGTTAGAATATGTTATGTTCTCCGATCCGTGAAATGGTATGAGTGAGTGAGTGAGTTGGGTTTAACGCCGCTTTTGACAGTATTCCAGTTATATCACGGCGTGTCAGCTTAATGTCGGGGAGGAAAGCCCGAAGTGATGCAGGTCTCAGACGTTTACCACTTCGGTGAAACCCACGAGCACGAGTACGGTGCTGACAAACATAATCGGAGCGAACCGGGATTCGAACCCACAATCATAGGTTTCTGGCGTGCCCAAGGGACGCAACCCTGCACAGTGAATCGCGGCGCCTTAGACTACTGGGCCACCCGTGCCCCCTGAAATGGTATGAATATGAGCAAGACATTCTAACACTGATCACTTACCTCCGCCGTGGCTGTAACACATATAGGGGAACCACCATATGTAGGAGTAATCTGTGGTGACGGCCAACGCGGCCATGATAAACTCTGCATTGCAGGTCCAATGCCCCCGCTCCATGCCCTGAGAAACAGCTGTCTGGTCCTCGAATTCAAACCTAGTTACATGAATAGGTACCGCGGGTCCCGATGCAGAAGGCGCTTGGGTAGTTCTAAGAGGTTGCTCTTGCTCGGCAAATTCGTTGCTGAGAACCGTAGCTTCCTTGCTCTCGAGCTCCGCCATGTTTCGTGTGTCGCCCTCCTCTGCTGAAATGTAAACATGTATTGTCAGGGTCAAACGGTATATTCCTTAATTGAGCCCTTATCCAATTGTCTATCTATGTAGTCAAATCAGGATAATTGTCTTTAAAGTTCATTTGCACGAATGTCCCCATTAGAACGTGTTCTGTTTACAAGCTACACGGTAAATTGTGGGGAAGGTAGATTTAAGGGGTTTATTTCAGTTGTTTGCATCAATCAGTAACACCTCCAAAGGTGTAGGACCGAGACGTCGAATTTAAAAAAAAGGTTACTGCAGAACCGCGACATCGATAAAGGTCTTGGGACCGGGATGTAAAATGGGTATAATCACAGAGGCGAAAGAGTGGTCTTCACCACTCACAGGAACCTTGAGCTGCTGTACGAATCTACCGTACTATAATCAGGTGATTACACACATATCTCCGTCACTGAAGCGAAAGACTACTGGTCTTCACCCTCGACAGGAACTTTGAGCTGCTGTACGAATCTAGCGAACTATAATCAGGTGATTACACACATATCTTCGTCACTGAAGCGAAAGTCTACTGGTCTTCACCCTCGACAGGAACTTTGAGCAGCTGTACGAATCTACCGTACTATAATCAGGTGATTACACACATATCTTCGTCACTGAAGCGAAAGACTACTGGTCTTCACCCTCGACAGGAACTTTGAGCAGCTGTACGAATCTACCGTACTATAATCAGGTGATTACACACATATCTTCGTCACTGAAGCGAAAGACTACTGGTCTTCACCCTCGACAGGAACTTTGAGCAGCTGTACGAATCTACCGTACTATAATCAGGTGATTACACACATATCTTCGTCACTGAAGCGAAAGACTACTGGTCTTCACCCTCGACAGGAACTTTGAGCTGCTGTACGAATCTACCGTACCATAATTACACACTATCTACACCTCTTTCACCAGACGTATACCACTCATGGAGATGCACGAGTTTAAGTCTTTCCACCTATCTGTACTGTCTACAACCGAACAGAAAAGAGGTGAGGTGAAATGGGGTTTAACACCGCGTCCAAGATTATTGCACTTATATAGCGACGTGCATGTACGTGTGTGTGTCTGTGTGGCTGCTTGTACTAGTCCGGACTGATGCCGATTTATAGTGCTGGCTCACTGAGATACCGTGCCGCATTTTAACATGTATACCCCACTCAGACACAGTATACTGACTCCGAGCCGACCAGGCCTTGTTTTAGCACTTTAATGCCGAGCGCCAGACAGGGTAACAACAAGTACCATATTTTAACGTCTTTTGGTATGACGCGGCCGGGGATCGAACCCCCTAGACCACGAAGGCGGTCCGAACAGAAAAGAAGAAACTTACGTCTGAGTGTTTGAATATATCCAATTAGCTTTTCAAAAACTGGGATTGCACCTGAACCCTGCTGTGTTTCAGTTAGACTTGCAGCCCATAATGCAGTGGGTGAAGAGTTCCCTGACACCAACATTCGAGAGTGGTATTTCCGCTGCGCACATCTTGATCCGGAAATGACATCATCACATCGACGCAATGTAGCAGTCGGTGACGTCAGAGAGGTGTGTACATGCAGTTAAACGGGCCCGGACAGCTCCCAGTAAACGCAGAAACGTCAACATCGGTGCCAGAATCCGTGTCCTGGAGGACGATCACAGACACACCATGTGGGTAACTGAGTGCACGGAAAATGTATCCGAGTTGGTACATCTCGAGTAAATGTACTGAAACATGTTATGCTTCTATGGTTGGGGTGAATTGGGTTTAACACCGCTTTCAACATTATTCCAGTCACATCACGGCGTTATGCTGCTATGGACAAAATGAGATTAAATTATATATCATTAAAATGAGATAAAAAATGATGTACATTTATATTTATATGTGATCCAATGTTATACTTTTGAGTGAGTGAGTTGGGTTTAACACCACTTTTAACAGTATTCCAGTTATAGCACGGCGTGTCACCTTAATGTGGGAGGAAAGCCCGAAGTGATGTCGGTCTCAGACGTTTATCACTTCGGTGAAACCCACGGGCACGGGTTTGGTACTGACAAACCTAGAAACATAATCGGGGCGAACCGGGATTCGAACACACAATCATAGGTTTCTGGCGTGTCCAAGGGACGCAGCTCTGCACAGCGAATTGCGGCGCCTTAGACAACAAATAGTGACAATGAGATCACAGTCGATGTCATTTATCCAAGAACATTAATACACAGTGTTTGAAACTCAGCAGAATAAACTGAGGGCCAGCACATTAAAAAAACTGTAGGTCCAGCGGAAAAACTGTAGGCCCAGTGGAAAAAACTGTAGGCCCAGTGGAAAAACTGTAGGCCCAGTGGAAAAACTGTAGGCCCAAACATTTCAGCTGAAGCAGTGAGACATACTCCTGCAATAGAAATTACAAAACACAACCAGTCAACCAGAAGCTTTTACTGCTATCACACCGAGTTCACAGAGACACAAGGTGATAGATGAAGCATACACCATTTGAAAGGTCACATCCTACTGTTTATAAATACCATAGTTATGTTTATCACATTACTTTAAAAAGGCTTAATAAATAATAACTTAAATAAACTGAATGCCGTAATTGCCTGCTGAAATTTAAAACTATCAGCCCGTGAACAAATTTGTCGGCCTCGGGCCTACGGGCCGATGTCTATTTCGAACACTGTTCATAGATGCCTACATTCAAAGTGCTTACAATAAACGGTATCCGTACTGTAGATGTTTAGTCTTGTTTTTTACGATATCCCGGTACCTGGACATGGATTTATCAGATTGACTGAACCACAGCAAGTACCAAACGTCGAACGCACTTTCCCCTACCGTGGTAGAGATGTTCAATGTCCCTGCCCACGACTACGCAACGGCGGCGTCCTCCGTATTGTGAATATTCTCTATAAATAGACCCGATAATTTCAAAACAACGTGGTCGTAGACTGCAACTATGATGCAATATCGCTGCAATCCCGTAAAAGCGGACATTTAATAATACAGGGAGGTGATAGAAATAAAATAATAGTATACTGACTCCTTTGCGTGTGATGTCCGAAAGAGCGTCTCTATTAGTTGTGAGCAGGGTTCTCCGTCGCCACTGAAAGGCACTGGCAAACAAGTTGCCCAGCGGAGTTGGGGAAACGACCTTGACATCAGATACGGGCTATGGGTGAAGCGAGAATAGCTGAGGCATTTGTCATGTTAAGGCGGGAGTGGGGGCCATGTTAAGGCGAGAGTGGTGGCCATGTTAAGGCGGGAGTGGTGGCCATGTTAAGGCGGGGGTGGGGGCCGTGTTGGGTTTTCTGCCATATTGTATGCAGAAAACGTATAAAGATATTTCTTAAAGCGATAAGAGATTTTAGAGAAGTTTGGGTTAATGAGGATACGTTCTCCTTTTTTGTGCCGTCATTTATGATGTCAGAGATTATTTTCATGATGTTTTAAATGTATTGGACAAAAAACATCCCTGATGTTATAACATAATTATTGATAGAGCAAATTTTAATTTGACAAATGTACAAAGAAATTAATGATGACGAAAAATTAATGAAAACCACATGTACAAAATATACGTTCGGATATAACGAACTGTGATCTGGTCCAGTCAATTCGATGTTTATATGCACATAACGAACTACAGTTATAACGAACTAAAATAAGTGGTTCCCGTCAGTTCGTTATAACCGTAGTTTACTGTACATACATACACATATATATTCTGGTATTCTATTTGTATAGCGACATACATATACTTCCAGGTGTGCTATCTGTATAGCGACATACATATACTAACAGGTGTTGTGTGCTATTTGTATAGCGACATACATATACTACCAGGTGTTGTGTGCTATCTGTATAGCGACATACATATACTACCAGGTGTTGTGTGATATTTGTATAGCGACATACATATACTACCAGGGCTGGTGTGCTATCTGTATAGCGACATACATATACTACCAGGTGTTGTGTGCTATTTGTATAGCGACATACATATACTACCAGGTGTTGTGTGCTATTTGTATAGTGACATACATATACTACCAGGTGCTGGTGTGCTATTTGTATAGTGACATACATAAACTACCAGGTGCTGGTGTGCTATTTGTATAGCGACATACATATACTACCAGGTGTTGTGTGCTATTTGTATAGCGACATACATATACTAGCAGGTGCTGGTGTGCTATTTGTATAGCGATATACATATACTACCAGGGCTGGTGTGCTATCTGTATAGCGACATACATATACTACCAGGTGTTGTGTGCTATTTGTATAGCGACATACATATACTACCAGGGCTGGTGTGCTATCTGTATAGCGACATACATATACTACCAGGTGTTGTGTGCTATTTGTATAGCGACGTACATATACTAACAGGTGTTGTGTGATATTTGTATAGTGACATACATATACTACCAGGTGCTGGTGTGCTATTTGTATAGCGACATACATATACTACCAGGTGCTGGTGTGCTATCTGTATAGCGACATACATATACTACCAGGTGCTGGTGTGCTATTTGTATAGTGACATACATATACTACCAGGTGCTGGTGTGCTATTTGTATAGCGACATACATATACTACCAGGTGCTGGTGTGCTATTTGTATAGCGACATACATATACTACCAGGTGCTGGTGTGCTATTTGTATAGCGACATACATACATATACTACCAGGCGCTGGTGTGCTATATGTATAGCGACATACATATACTACCAGGCGCTGGTGTGCTATATGTATTGCGACATACATACATATACTACCAGGTGCTGGTGTGCTATTTGTATAGTGACATACATATACTACCAGGTGTTGGTAAGCTATTTGTATAGCGACATACATATACTACCAGGTGTTGGTAAGCTATTAGTATAGCGACATACATATACTACCAGGTGTTGGTAAGCTATTTCTATAGCGACATACATATACTACCAGGTGTTGGTAAGCTATTTCTATAGCGACATACATATACTACCAGGTGGTGTGTGCTATTTGTTTAGCGACATACATATACTACCAGGTGTTGGTAAACTATTTGTATAGACCAGGTATGCGGGAATGAACCCAATGGACGTGTTGTCAAGGAAACCCACAATTCTATAAATAGACATAGGACGCGTGTCTAGTCCCCCCTTATGCCCTGTTGCGAACCATGCCTCCGGTAACCTACGAATGTACAAATATACACCGGCTCAGCTAACGCAGCCAAGAAACACCGAGGAGCGACATCTGAAAAAAATGCTGAAAATAAATTGACCAGCTCGGATAAACTCCGAATCAAAGGACCTTCCGAAATCAATACAGGAACCACGCAAATTCCTGTCAACACGTGCGGCACCATCAGGTCAATATAAGGTCAACTAAGGAGAGGTGGAGAGTGACACAAATATGCTTTAAGAAACTATACCTCTCAGTTGATTTTACCTTATGTTTGATGGGTATCTTAGACATATTATCTTTGAAAATTAATATATTTACACAAATGTACAACAGTTCGAGGGACAGAGGAGGCCCAGTCGTCTGAGGCGCCGCGATTCGCTGTGCAGAGTTGCGTCCCTTGAGCACCAAGTAACATTTGATTGTGGGTTCGAGTCCCGGTTCGCCCCGATTAAGTTTCAATGTTTGTCAGCACCTTACCCGTGCTCGTGGGATTCACCGAAGTGGTAAACGTCTGAGCCCTACATCACTTCGGGCTTTCCTCCCACATTAAGCTGACACGCCGTGATATAACTGGAATACTGTTAAAAGCGGCGTTAAACCCAACTCACTCACTACGACATTTCGAGCATGGTAGGGACCATGTGGTTGCAAATTCATTTCTCCCCCAACCTCCCCAGCCACAGATTACTGTTTACAAACTGTTGCAGAAATGAGTGATGGTTAAATAGACATAATCAACAGTTCTTACAATTTTCATCAAAATTGGTATACTTTATTTGGCGGTTCATTGTATAAAGTGTGCACATTGCTTCATTTTCATGATAATACTACATGATATATTCACCCTGTTGAAAGAGATACCAGCCGATAAAGCTACTATGCACTCTTAAACTTATGTGCAATTAATGTCAAGATTAAAAAATAACATTCGCCCGCACAGGCTCGAGTACCCACATGGGGAGAATTTGGGAGCCCATTCCTGATGTCCCCTGCTATCGTTTTTGTGGGAATATAGCCCAAAGCGACGTAAAACCATATTCATTGCCTCTTCAATAGTCACTAAAGCGTCTGTAAAATCTTCTTGCAAGAAGTGACCGTGGGGTAGAAATGTCTCCCTCTCCTTATTGTGCCAAAATGTTTGATAGAATTGCTGGATCGAAATTAGACTTTAAAAATATACTTAGTATTTTTCATACATAGAATCAGTGTATAAGACACATTTCACGTTAAACCAAAATATAAAAAACACACTTAGACATATATGACAATGCATGCAATTCCGATACAATTACCCACAAGTCCCATCGTTGTAAACAAGAGTCGCCGAAGGCTCTAGTCGCCTGGCTTAAGGATCTGTCATGCGTACAAGGCTGCCACACAACACGAGTAACTAAAGATGGACGACTGAGTGACTTTATTGCTTATGTAGACCAGTTTGTAATATGTGCCCACTTCTCACGCACAGCGTAGAACAATACCACGTGACAACATAGACGCCATCGAACTGCACAAGGAGGCTAGAGGTAGGTGTAATGTTGAAAGCTTCATGTGATTGCATACCTGTCAACTCTCACGCATCTCGCGTGAGTCTCACGCATTTATCACCTATGTCACGCTCACACGAAAGATTGGGAAATTCTCATGTATTCATATAAAATGTAGATAAAAATATTTTGAAACGCTTTTTTCTTTCGATTTGTCGCGATTGCAACCAATACGGCGAGACTGGGTTCATCTTTCCCCTTTCGCGCAATTACTTGTTGTTATTTCAGAATACATGCTATCTAAGACCATTAAAATGGTCTTAAAATCATTTAAAACCAGTTTTCGCCGGGGATGCTTAGTCCCCCTGCGCTTAGCCCAAGACTCAGCGGAGCTCGGAGCCGGGTGCAGGCTAAAACGGCACGTCAGTAAAACGTCACCGATTTCTCTGGCGAAAACGGCTACTATGTGACGGGCGAAAACGGCACCTCTATTTCTAATAACGATAAGAACGATTTATGTGGTAGTATATCTGATTTATTTTATTTGTTACATATTATTTGATGTATTTACATATTATTTCCTGTTTTCCAGTTGTTCACAGATAACCTCATACATTCACATATACACAATTCTTCAGTTTTCATCTTCATCACAGTTTACAATATCGGCCCATGTACCACCAAGCATTGTGACAGTAGCTGGCTCAGGGGGCTTATTTCCACAGGAACTCGTTATTGGTCAGTAAATAAAAATATATACCCTCTATAGTCTATATGTACTCTACTTACATATAGGGGGTATATATTTTTATTTACTGACCAATAACGAGTTCCTGTGCTTATTTCTAATGTAAACTTGTTTAAATTTTCACAATTATTGGTGTTTGTAAGAGACGATGTGGGTTTAATTTCATTTATTTTACTTCAAAGCATATAATATTTTCACAATAAGTTAGTTGCGCCTCCAAATCAGAGTCGGCGAGTAAATTGGAGTAGGGTGCTAATTTCTACTGTAAACTTGTTTTAACATTTCACTTTTATTAGTGTTTATAAGAGACGATGTTATGTTTTCAGAATAAGTTGAGTTGCGTATAGGCTAAGTTGGAATATAGTTGGAGTAGAGGTTATTTCTAATGTAAACTAGTTTTAACATTTCACAATTATTGGTGTTTGCAAGCGACCATGTACGTTAAATTTCATTTATTTTACCAAGGTGAAAAAAAAGGGTGCCGTTTTCGCCAGGCAATAGTAGCCTTTTTCACTTGAGGCGAGGTGCCTTTTTCGCCAAACGGGGATGTTTTCGCCAGGTGCCGTTTTGCTGAGGGGCCGTTTTAGCTATAACCCCTTGCAGCCCCTGCACCCTGGCTTCTCACTCATTTAGAGGGGAGGTCGGGTAGCCTAGTGGTTAAAGCGTTCGCTCGTCACGCCGAAGATCCGGGTTCGATTCCCGACATAGGTACAATGTGTGAAGCCCATTTCTGGTCTCCCCCGCCGTGATATTTGTGGAATATTGCTAAAAGTGCCGTAAAACCATATTCACTCACTCACGCTCACTCATTTAGACATCCAGGGGTTGACAGCTATCATGTGATTGGCACTACCTGATTTTGAATGAAAGTGTTCAATGTCCAATGCCCCCCCTAGGTCTGACTTATTTTGCTTCACACAAACAGAACTAGAGGCATAACTTTAAAGAGTTCGAGGTTAGGTCAGATTCTCGAACTAGGCTAGTAGATCTAGTAGGCCTACCGGGTAAATTGGTTGTTTTGTTTGTATCTTCACATTCTCCAGTTAGATTCACTTACTTATTGTAAAGTCCGTCTGTTGTTAAAATATGATATTAATTGCTACATTATAGTCAGTAATTCAACTTGTTGGTGTATATGGACATCACGTCCCAAGTGAATGCTACGGTAACAAGAGTAGATTCTAATCTCGTTTTGCTCACAACACCCGAAAACCATATTCGATGTGTGGCAGTCACTCTTGTTCTGTTGATTATTCAGGGACTGACCATTTGATCTGCTTGGGGTGGGTGGGGGGAATGGGCTCTGGGAATTTGTATCAAGATTAGATATTTTTTCAGCTACTGGTACAAGACCAGATAGATCTCTGTATTTTATTCATAACTATGATCTAATTCTTTTCAACAGTCTAAGGCATAATTAATTTTTCAAAAATTTTGGGGACAACATATTTTTTTCAATAAAAACCCAACATAGATTCTGCCACATTTTATGCACTGGTGTTTCCACCCATTGGTGCTATTTACCACAAAAGGTGCAATTAAACAAATCATTTACTTTTTTTAGATGGCGACCTCTAAATACAAGAAGCTGACAGACAAGCACCTTTCTTGTGCCATCTGTACAGGGGTGTTCTCACACCCTGCCACACTTCAGTGCAATCACACATTCTGCAAATCCTGTCTGCTGAAATACACCAAAACGCGCCCAGGAGCAATACAGGCTAAGTCCATCCCATGTCCAACCTGTAGACAACTGACGAAGGCGCTCACCCCTGACAGTCCCCTAGAGGAGTGGGTCAGTCAGCTGAAGCCCAGCCACGTGATACAGGGGCTGATGGACGACTTTGTACCGGCAACACAGGCAGTAGAAGGTGATTAGCCATTATTTTTCTGAGTGACAATGTGTTTGAAATAAGCGCCTACCCGTAAGGTCTGATGCCTTTCAAATTTATATGGGTCCTCATGGACTACAGTAAATTTTCATGTCGATTTATTTGTCACACAAATGAGTGCCCGAAGAGTTTAGTCAAGACCTGCAGCTTCTAAAGTCTGTGGGTCCTAATGGCAGCCTGGCATTATAATTTATTTCAAACACTGACTATTAGGAAAAATGCCCTTCCTATAGGACATGTATATCATCCCAAAGAAGACAACCCGTGAAGATCCAGGGTAGAATAGGTCTTCAGCAACCCATTCTTGCTGTAAAAGGCGACTGAGCTTATCGTAAGAGGCAACTAAGGGGATCGGGAGGTCAGGCTCGCTGACTTGGTTGAAGCATGTCATCGATCCCAATTGCGGAAGGTCTGGGGTTCGATCCCCTACCACGTCATACCAAAAGACGTCAAAAGATGGTACTTGTTGTTACCCTGTCTGGCACTCGACATTGAGGGGCTAAAAGAATGACTGGTCGGCTCGGAGTCAGTTTACTGCATCTGACTGAGGTATTCATGTTAAACTGCAGCATGGTATCTCAGTGGGAAGCACTATGATTTGGCATCAGTCCGGACTAGTACAAGCAGCCACACTCACAGTATGTCACTTGTATAGCGCCGTGCATACACGTGTGTGGGTCACACACGTGTATGCACGGCGCTATACAAGTGCAATAATCTTGTGCCCGACGTTAAGCTCCATTTCACCCCGCCTCCAAGACTTATACACTAGATTGTCTGGTCCAGGTTCAATTATTTACAGGCTGCCATCATTTTGCTGGAATATTACTGACTGCGACGTTAAACTACAAACCAACAAGCAGGGATGTGAAATCTCCGCGGAAACGCCGAAAATCACGTTTTTTAAAACAGTAGTCCTCGGGGAAAAAATCATCTTCCGCGTAAAAATATAATCAAAGATTTAAAAAAAACACTCTGAAAAAATGTTACCAGGCTTATACTGTTAATGTGTGGATACGAAACTTCCCCTCGAATACGAAACTGCCGTCTATGATTTGAGAATGACTTTACGGCGGCCATCTTGGTTTGCTCTAGCCAGGCAGTTGAGTGACAACCTGTGTGGGTGCAAGAGGTGTATTGTGTTGGCAGTCCTTTTGAATACAAGTGTAAATGAAGAACCTGTGTCTGTCTATTTTAACATGGTAGCAGAGCGTGGTTGACACCTGTCCCTGACCTTTTCCTGTATGCTGGAAAAAAAAAATTGTTGGTGTAGAAAAAAAAAAAAGAAGAAGAAAAAAAATAGAGAGACAAGAAAGAAGACATGGCGTCAAGTGGTAGCTATAAGAGTCCCCCGACATTCTCAGAGGCCAAACCTTATAACAGATGGATTGAAGAAATCCGTGTATGGATGACTGTTACAGACCTTCCTGAAGAAAAACAGGGACCTGCTTTGGCTTTATCTCTGCCAGAGAATGAAGGTACAATTCGTGATAAAGTTTTCAGTGAATTAGGTGTCACAAAATTGAATCAGAAAGATGGTGTGAAAACATTCATACAGTTTATGGACAGTGTATATAAGAAAGATGAACTTTCAGAGGCTTATGAAGTTTACATTGAATTTGACAGATTTAGAAGATTGGAAAGAATGACCATGGAGAACTATGTCACAGAATTTGAAAAACTTTATAACAGAACTAAAAAATACACAATGAGTCTACCACAATCTGTATTGGCTTTCAAATTACTTGAGAATGCTGGACTCAGTCACACAGAACGACAATTGGTGCTCACTGGGGTAGATTATACTAATGAGGCAACCCTATTCAAACAGATGAGTGTTTCGATGAGAAAGTTCTTTGGGAAACAGTCCCTACCAGCATCAGGTGGTGAAGAGAAGATGATCCCAATATCAGAAATTAAAGTTGAACCAGTCTATGCTGTCTATGAAGAATCTGCACACTACACGCGTAGTAAGAGAGGTAGAAGAGGTCAGGGAGGTTATGGAAATTACCAGAATTATGGTTGGCGGGGGAACAATTCACAGTTTAGAGGTTATGGAGGACAGTTTGGTGCACGTAGAAACAGCAGTGATGTGTTTGATGGAACAGAAAGTGCAAGAGGGAAGAGAGTTCAGAATGTCTTGGGAAGGGATGGCAGACCCCTTCACTGCAAAATTTGTCAGTCAATATTTCATTTTGCAAAAGATTGCCCCGACTCCTATGAAAATATGGACAAAAGAAAATATGGTGGAAAGGAGGAAGAATTTGTACTCTTCACAGGAAACAAAAATGAAGAACTCGAGGTATTAGTGTGTGAAACATTAAATACAGCAATCCTAGACAGTGCATGTAGCTCTACAGTAGCTGGTGAGGTGTGGGTGAAGTGTTTCATAGATACTCTTGATAAACATGAACTTGAACAAGTGACAAGATGTCCAAGTGAGACTTTGTTTAAATTTGGAGGTGGAAGGCGTCTAAAATCAATGGAAAAGATTACGCTTCCATGTGAGATAGCTGGGGTAAAATGTACTGTTACGACGGATGTAGTTGAGAGTGACATACCCTTACTTCTTGGAAAGCCTGCAATGAAAGCTGCAAAAGTTATCATGGACCTTGAAAATGATAAAGCCTCTTTCTTTGGAAATGAAATTGACTTACAATGTACCTCATCTGGGCATTATTGTGTCCCATTGGTTCATTCAAGGGTACCTGTGGACAATACATTTGAAGTTTTGTTCACAGTCACTGGAAAGACGAAGATAGAAAAGAAGAAAACAATAGTGAAGTTGCACAAACAATTTGCTCATCCGTCTAGCCAACGGTTGGCAATGTTACTGGAAGATGCTGGAGTGAAGGATCAGTCTTGTCATGAATTGGTTGATGAAGTTACTCGTGAATGTGAAATTTGCTCAAAGTTCAAGAAAACTCCACCAAGACCAGTTGTGTGCCTACCTTTAGCAACTGAATTCAATGAAGTTGTAGCTATGGACTTGAAAGTGTGGAAACCAGGTGTGTATTTCCTGCACCTGATTGATCTTGCAACAAGGTTTAGTTTAGCAGCCGTCATCAGAAGAAAGACACCTGAGATAATCATTGATAAAATCCTAAAACTATGGATAGGCAGTGGATTTGGAATTCCGAAAAAGTTTCTGGCAGATAATGGTGGTGAATTTGCAAATGCAGAGTTCAGAGATATGGCTGAAAATCTGAACATTGAAGTTATGAACACTGCAGGTTTCAGTCCATGGCAGAATGGGGTGTGTGAGAGAAATCATTCGGTTGTTGATAATTGTGTTGAGAAGATTATGGAAGATGACCCGCGTCTGGACTTGGAAACTGCATTAGTATGGGCTATCAACGCAAAGAATTCTCTGCAAATGGTACATGGATGGAGTCCATATCAATTGGTTTTTGGCTCAAATCCAAACATGCCTTCTGTACTTACAGATAAACCTCCAGCTTTGGAGGGGACCACCATCAGTGAAACATTTGCTAGGCATTTGAATTCTCTACATTCTGCAAGAAGGGCATTCATTCAGACAGAATCCTCTGAACGAATTCGGAGGGCACTGAGGCATAATGTTCGACCATCAGGTACCACTTTTCATGCAGGCGAAAAAGTCTATTACATGAGAGACAATCAGTGGAAGGGACCGGGGAAGGTGTTAGGTCAAGATGGCAAGATCGTTTTTGTTAGGCATGGAAACATTTACATCAGGGTTCACACTTGTAGGCTTCATAAGGTACAAAATCAAGGACATGATAGACCTGATCAGGTCATGGAAAGCAATGAAGAAGGAAATGGTGTGATCTATCCAACATGTCCAAACGAGCATGAGACTGAGAATTTTCATGAGGAAGACTGTGATAATGATCTCTCTGGTGTTGAGAAGAACAAGTGTGAGCATAGTATCCAAGACAAAAATGATCCAAGCATCATAACATTTCCAAAGGTGAAAGACAGGGAAAATTATTGGCCACAAAATACAGACAAGTGGAAAGAAGCTGAGGTGATCAGTAGAGGTGGCAAGGCTACAGGAAAGTATAAAGGGTATTTCAATGTCCGTGAAACTGATAGTCAAGAGGTCAAAACATTGAACTTTGAAACTGATGTCCAGCGATGGGAAAAGGTTGAAACTGACAGTTTCATGTCAGCTGAAGATGTGAATGTTGCCTTTGTCCCTTGTAAAAATCATGAGGATAAAGCTGTTAAAATTGCCAAAGAATCCGAACTTAGAAATTGGGAATTGTTTGATGTTTATGAAGAGGTGCATGATTGTGGTCAGCCATGTATATCTACAAGATGGGTGATAACTGAAAAGGTCAATGGAGAAAAGAAAGAAATCAAGGCAAGACTTGTTGCAAGAGGCTTTGAAGAAAAGCAGTGTGTGCAAAGTGATTCGCCAACAGCAGGTAAAGATACTCTTCGAACAATTTTGGCAATTTTCTGTATGAAGTCTTGGGAATGCAGAACCATTGACATAAAGGCCGCATTCTTGCAAGGGAAAAGCATTGAGAGAGAAGTGTATTTAAAGCCACCAAAAGAGTCTGACGCAGAAGGAAAAATATGGAAGTTAAAGAAATGTGTTTATGGTTTGAATGATGCATCTAGAACATGGTATTTCCGTGTTTGTGAAGTACTCAAACTCTTGAAATGCAAGCAATCTGAGATTGATCCAGCTCTTTTCTATTGGCATGTCGATGGAAATTTATCCGGTATATTCCTAATGCATGTGGACGATTTCATATGGGCAGGGACACCAGATTTTGAGAGTCTCGTTATTGGAAGGATACGACAGACCTTTAAGATTGGAAAACAAGCAACAGGCATTTTTCAGTACATTGGTTTGGAAATCAAGCAGAGCAAGGGAGAAATCAAGATGGATCAACTTTCATACATTGAGAATCTGACCAGTATACCAATTCACCTGTCAAGAGCATCACAGAAATGTGAACCATTGACGAAGGAAGAGACAACTCAATGTAGAAGCTCTATTGGCCAATTAAGCTGGGTGGCAAATCAGACAAGACCAGATGTCATGTTTGATGTGCTGGAGTTGAGTGTTTGTATGAAGCAGCCAACAGTTGAAGATTTGATAAGAGCAAACAAAACCATTAAAAAAATAAAGTTGGAAGAATGCAGACTTTGTTTCAAGGAAATGGGGAAGCTAGATGATCTTCGTCTTCTGATGTTCAGTGACGCATCCTATGGCAATCTGAGTGATGGTGTGTCAAGTACTGGTGGATTCATCATTTTCTTAATTGGCAAGGACAACATGTGCTGTCCCCTTGTTTGGAAGGCTACTAAAATCAGAAGAGTGGTACGCAGCACACTTGCTGCAGAGGCCCTTGCCATGGTAGATGGACTAGAAGCAGTGAGTTGTCTTGGATATCTCATCAGTGAAATTCTTACAAATGGTTTGGGAAAGAATGTTATCCCTATTGATTGCTACACTGACAATAAGTCACTCTGTGAGAACATTCACTCAACAAAATCTGTCAGTGAAAAACGTCTGAGAATAGACATTGCAGGAATAAAGCAAATGCTAGAAAGAAAAGAAATCTCCAAGGTGTGTTGGGTTAAATCAAGTGACCAGCTTGCTGACAGTTTGACAAAAAGAGGAGCATCTGCGATGAAACTTCTGGAGATCTTGAAGACTGGACAATTGAACATTTAACATGTGTGATGTTACAGTTGTCGTCTAACTGCAAGAAATAATGCAGTTCATGGACTGAAGTAGTGTTGTGATATGAAACTTTTTTATTCGTTCAGTTTTTAATTCATGTTGTAAAAAAAACTAAATATTTTATTTCAATCATATAAAACAAAAGATAATATTTCATGTTTGAATGTACAGTTACTTTTATACTTGTACAGATGTGATGTCAATTTAAAAAGAAAAAAGAAAAAAGGGGAGTATGTTAATGTGTGGATACGAAACTTCCCCTCGAATACGAAACTGCCGTCTATGATTTGAGAATGACTTTACGGCGGCCATCTTGGTTTGCTCTAGCCAGGCAGTTGAGTGACAACCTGTGTGGGTGCAAGAGGTGTATTGTGTTGGCAGTCCTTTTGAATACAAGTGTAAATGAAGAACCTGTGTCTGTCTATTTTAACATATACATGCACACATTTAAATTGTTTGATAGGCATTTCTTAGAGAAGTTAGAAGTTGACGGATGTCAAAGTAGACACACACAAAATTATTTATGGGCTAAAACCTCTTTATTATGCTGTAATAGCAACACGGTATAGATCCTTATACCGTTGTCAAGCAAGACTGAATATTGAACATGGTACAGAATTCTGTATGGTAGGCAAAGGATTAACAGTAACAAGAATTATTATTCTTTATCAGAGGGATAAGCACACACACACCAGGGTTTTACCCGATGCACAAATGTGCATCCAGTACGCACTAATGTAGAGAATGGACGCAGAAAAAATATATACTGCGTCCCAGGGGACGCACAATAACATTCATTCAATCATGACCACTGTCCACATAATCATTGATTCATTCCAGGTTCTAAATAATTATCTAAATGTGTAGTACACTACACCATTTCATTACTTTACTAGAGCCCCATTTTGCCAAAGTGGACCCTTACAATTTATTATTGGGGGTCCCCTGTACCCCAACTTTTGTATGTCAAGGTAAAACTCTGCAAACACACACACACACACAAACACACACACACACACACACACACACACACACACACACACACACACACACACAGAATAACTGAGAAACTTACTTGTACTTTTGTTAGTCCTGCCAATGTCTGTGATTGCTGAATTTACAACTTCATTTATTGTTAGGTAAACAATAAATTGGTTGTTTTTGAGTAACATGCACACAAGACATGTGAAGATCTGGCTTAAAATAGGTCTTCAGCAAAGCATTCTTGCTGTAAAAGGCGACTGTGCTTGTCGTAGGAGGCCACTAACGGGATGGACTGGTCAGGCTGGACATGTCATCCATTCCCAGTTGAGTGGATTGATGCTCATGATGTCAATCACTGGAGTGCCTGGTCCAGACTCAATTATTTACCGACCGCAGTCATTTAGGTGGAATATTGCTGAGTGTGACATTAAACAACAAACTAACATATACACGCGATATATAATTCAAAAATATCTTTTCAGATATAAACATCTGCAATGTTTGCAAAACACAAGGGAAGACAACTCCAGCCACTTCATGGTGCTCTATCTGTGATGATGTTTTCTGTGATGGATGTGTCAAGATGCACAACATGATGCCAATGTCACGTGATCATGAAGTAGTGGATTTGTCTGGTCCTACCAAAGTAAGGACAAGGCGTCGCTTTATGTGTAAGATCCACAGAGATGAAAAGGTGAAACTGTTCTGTAAAGACTGCAAGCAGGCGATATGCACAATATGCTGCTGTATAAAACACAGGGCTTGTAAGGATGTTGAAACTATAGAGAGCATGACTCCTCTTGTGAAGGAACACCTGACAAACAAAACAGAGCAACTTAGAATCAACATTGAAAATACAAAAAACTACATCGACTTGAGAAAATCTACAATTCAAAATATAAGGAGTAATGGACACAGGGTTAAAGATCATATCCGAAAATCAAGGGAAACATTGGTAGAAGTGATCCTAAAGAAAGAGAAGCATCTTCTTGAGGATGTGGATGAATTTTGTAATAATCACACTCAGAAATTACAAGCAGATATAACACTCCTGGAGAATGAGCTTCAGGTATGCCAGCAGCAGTATGAGTCCACAGCCACTGCTGTGACATCCAACTGTGAGATGGACATGTATGCCGTCTATGAGTCGATGGGTGAGGCATCTACGGACAACAGAGACATGGACAACATGCCAGCACCAGGAAGGGTTGTCCTCAAACACGACATGGACAAGCTGAGTAAAGCAGTTGATGAGCTACAACTGGGAGAGGTTGAAGTCGTACATGACATTGGTGACCGCCATTCTCCTCCTGTTCAACATCACACCATTGACTGTAAAGCGGATGAGGACACATGCGATCCTTTTTTGCATGACATCACAGTGGTAATGGTTGATGACATCAAAGTAACAGTAGTTGCAGATTGTGATAACAATAAACTCAAAATATATTACTCCTCAAATTCCAAATCATTTGAAAAACATCTACCGCTTTCTGATTATCCATGGCAAATAGCAACGTTAAGTGGGAGTCAGATAGCAGTCAGTATTCCAGACAGGAGTGAAATAGTTACAGTTGATATAACTCCAGATCCTGTGTTGCTTTCAACTCTCAAAACAAACAAACAGTACTGCGCTCTCGCCTGTCTGGGTCCTTCACAACTGGTGGCAGGTACATATAACCCCACTGTCGACATACTGGACATGGCAGGGAACCTACTGAGGTCCATCAACACGGGTGTGATAGGGAGTCCAGACTATATCCATGTCACCAGTAACAACAACCTGATACTTTGTAATGAAGAAGTACACTCCCTTGTATGTGTGACAAATGAAGGAGACGATTTGTTCACCTACACTCCCACAGGAGACAGGACTTTGATATGTCCCCAAGGTATCACTACAACCAAGACCGGAGACATTCTGCTGGTCGATGAAACCTCAAACAGTGTGGTTCAGCTGACAGAATCTGGTCAGTTTGTCAGATATGTTCTCCAAGAACAGGATGGTCTTCAGTCTCCTAATGGCATCTGTCTTGACAGTGACGGTTTACTGTATGTTACGTCAGACAGATATGTAAAGGTATTTAAATTTTGCTGAAGATGAATGTGGAAGTTAAGACTCAAATACATAAACATATCATGACACAAGTTGAGTGTCTTCTTTGATCCGGCTTTGGCGTTTTCCTTCATGGTCAAGACTGTCCGTGTGGTGTCGTGGAAAGAGTGTCTGCACAGAGAGCGGCAGGTCGGTGGTTCGGTCCCTTGTGGCACTGTGTTTACCAAGGATAGCTTTCGGCTAATGGGATATAACAAAGACTGGTCGACTCGCAGTCAGTATGAGTACGATGTTAAACTGCGGAATGGTATCTCATTGGGCTAGCATTTAAAACCGGCAGAACCCCGGGCCAGAACAAGCAGCCTCACAAACACACGTGCATGCACGTCGCTGTACAAGTGAAATAATCTTGAACAAGACTTGAAACCTAAGTTCTCATCACCACCTTCATTGTCTATGTGTACACACATGTAATTAAGTATCCCACATAGTATTTGCATAGATCTTGCCGTTGGCGATGATTTAAGATCAAGATCACATCTTAGTAAATTCTTGCTTATGTGAAGTGTTATTTTGATACACGTTTTGTTTGTTTTGTGAAGTGTTATTTTGATAGCACGTTTTGTTTGTTTTGTTTGTTGGTGGGTTAACGCCGCACTCGGCAATATTCCAGCTATATGACGGCGGTGTGTAAATAATCGAGGTGACTCACGGGATCGGGTGGTCAGGCTCGCTGACTTGGTTGATGTATGTCAGTGTATCCCAATTGCGTAGAACATATGACAAATGGACTGCGCTACTTGCACACAGCAACAGCAACTGTAATTACACTTAGGCTCAACATTACAAACACCACAGATAAGTCTTGTTCCACATGCGCAAACAAATCAAAATGTTCATTGGTGGAGAAGTGAATGTAACCAGGGATCCTGTTTACATGTGCCCGCACACAGCTGTGGTGTTACCCTCCTTCATCGTACCGTGGATGGTGGAGAAGTGAATGTAACCAGGGATCCTGTTTACATATGCCCGCACACAGCTGTGGTGTTACCGTCCTTCATCGTACCGTGGATGGCGTAGAAGAGAATGTAACCAGGGATCCTGTTTACATAGGCCCGCACACAAATGTGGTGTTACCCTCCTTCATTGTACCGTGGATGGTGTAGAAGAGAATGTAACCAGGGATCCTGTTTACATAGGCCCGCACACAAATGTGGTGTTACCCTCCTTCATTGTACCGTGGATGGTGTAGAAGAGAATGTAACCAGGGATCCTGTTTACATAGGCCCGCACACAGCTGTGTTGTTACCGTCCTTCATTGTACCGTGGATGGTGGAGAAGTGAATGTAACCAGGGATCCTGTTTACATAGGCCCGCACACAGCTGTGGTGTTACCCTCCTTCATCGTACCGTGGATGGTGTAGAAGAGAATGTAACCAGGGATCCTGTTTACATAGGCCCGCACACAGCTGTGTTGTTACCGTCCTTCATTGTACCGTGGATGGTGTAGAAGGGAACAAATGCATATCTTAAGGAACATTTGTTGCAACATTCAAGTCCTCAGTAAAGCTCTCAAAATGTTTTATGGTAGACATGTCTTGTTCCATATGTGTCCATGGTTTTTGTTGCATTTCAACACTTACCTTGCCTTTAACAATTGAATTGGTTTTGCAAGTGTGTGAGACAGGATACACTCACCTTTTCGGGAACACCTGGTGTCATCACTGTTTAAAAGTGATTCATAAACATGCACATGATATAGTCAGAATCGTACATTCTGCTTTTAGCAGAGATTTCTTATGACCATAGAAAGTGCTATGTTGCTTTTGATTACGAGAATAAAGGCTGCTAAAGGATGCATAAGCCAGATTCACTCATGCATTAACTTACCTGATGTAGCCGTCTGCCAGGATTACCAACAATGCCTGTCAGTCACTGGTCCACCAATAACTACAGCAACCCAACCATAAAGAAAATAATTCTTATCACGATGACACAATAATTCCGTAAAGGTTCCGACATCCTGCCTGAATTGTTCTTCCCCTATATTCCCTGTTGAGTTCCCCTGATCCTCTGCTCACGATTGCGTTGGCATCCTCCACTATCTACCATTGCCACCAATCACCACCCAGCTACCTACACCCTCCTTCCCCCACAGGGGCGGTCAGGTAGCCTAGAGGTTAAAGCGTACGCTCGTCACACCGAAGACCCGTTCGATTCCCGACATTGGTACAATGTGTGAAGCCCATTTCTGGTGCCCCCCTCCACCGTAATATTGCGGGAATATCGCTAAAAGCGACGTAAAATCAAACTCACTCACTCACACTTTCCCCCACATCCTAGTATCAGAAAATTCATATCAGACACGCATTTCTGTCACACTTTGTTTGCACTTGTGTATTGAGCACATTGCTGCTCGTCCATTCCACTTTGAATATTACAGACATGTTGGTAAACTTTATGCCCTGTACCTTGTATCACAAGGTCTTCAAGGGGCGGTCGGGTAGCCTAGTGGTTAAAGCGTTCGCTCGTCACGCCGAAGACCCTGGTTCGATTCCCGACATGGGTACAATGTGTGAAGCCCATTTCTGGTGTCCCCCGCCGTGATATTTGTGGAATATTGCTAAAAGCGGCGTAAAACCATACTCACTCACTCACCCAAGGTCTTCAAGGGCAGTTAAATAACTGGAATACTGTTAAAAGCGGCGTTAAACCCAACTCCTTCAGCCACTCACTAGATTTAAAAAAAACAAGTCCTGTTATAATCAGCCGTGTTGCCATCTTTCACTGGTAGCTGCCATTAAACACTATAATGGCGGGTCTTGGCGTTTCTCGGCGGGACATTGGTGATGATAGTGGAATAGGAGGTCATTGGTGACGTTTCTCAGCGGGACAGTGGTGATGATAGTGGAATAAGAAGTCATTAGTCACGTTTTTCAGATAACCGAAAACAGAAAAATGGCGACCAGTTTGCCTCTCCTCGAAGGGCGACACGATGCTCATGAATAACTCTCAGATCAAGTCAGACACTGATAAAGAAGTTTGGTGAGGAACTATCTGTGCACAAATGTCAATTGGATTTAGCAACGAGAATCCAGAGGGACGGTGAGACACCATTAGTATTACGATTTCTACTAAACATTGTGTAAGAAAGTGTTACCTGACGTTATGAAATGACAACACGAGTCACTTTGCTAGCACATTTTAGGAAGGCGTTAAATGGGAACATCAGAGACAAACAGTTGACTTCAAATTTGACCTTGTTAATGAAACTAACAATCGTGGTTTACACGTTAAAGTTTCACATTGGTATTGGTGGCAAAGTGTTTCTCCGATGATAGCGGAGTCACAAAACGGACCTCTTCCATTCACACCCTCTTGTCACGATTACGGAGAAGATTGAAGTCAAAATCTTAATATTATTATATATACTACACCACTCAAAAACAATCTTACCTCTTCTTACATTCGTTTATTAGATTTAATCATATATGTGAAACAGTTATAAAAAGAGGTCGTTTCTTTGCAGAAAGTTACAGTTGACGTCCTTAAACATGTGACCCGTGAAGATCCGGGGAAGTATAGGCATTCATCAACCCATGGTTGCCGTAAAAGACGACTGTGCTTATCGTAAGAGGCGACTAACGGTATCGGGTGGTCAGGCTCGCTGACGTGGTTGATGCATGTTATCGTATCAGAATTGAGTAGATCGATGCTCATGATGTCAATCATTTGATTGTCTGGTCCACACTCGATTATTTACAGGCCGACATTATATAACTGGAAAATTGCTGAATGCTGCTTAAAACACCAAAAGAAACAACAACGAATGGAACAAGAACAGAAATGGTTTATTCATACAGTGTTTATGAATGCATGCCTGTAATTTATCACACTATGGACAGTAAGACAGAAAAGGATACAGGTTCATACTGAAGTGCCCATGTTGACTGTTGGTTGCATTTAAGTTATTGTAGCAGCAGACAGCAACGCCAATAGGCTCACGACATACTACAGCTCAAAATTCAAATCATCTTCAAACATTGTCACGTTACGGATACCACATCAAATGACGCAGTTAAGCGATAGTCAGACAGCTGTGGATGTTCCATGGTGGATGTCCTGTTGTTACTGTAAACTTATATAAAAGCAAACATTACTACGTCCTCGTCTGTCCTGAGACACTGGTAACAGGTTCCAAATCACATTTCCTAATAGCTGACAGGAACATTCTGAAATATTATCAACAGGGGAGTGTTAAGGAGCCAGGCCTGTATCAATTTTATCAGTAGTCACTTGATTCTCGGTGAGGTAGGACACCCTTCTCCACTTCAGTGGTGCGTGAGAAGCTGTTCACCTGCACTCACACAGAAGACCGAACTCTGGCACGGCCTCGAGGTGTCACAACCTACATCACAGGAGACCGAGCTCTGGCATGGCCTCGAGGTATCACAACAACCAACACAGGAGACCGATCTCTGGTATGGCCTCGAGGTGTCACAACCTACATCACAGGAGACCGAGCTCTGGCATGGCCTCGAGGTATCACAACAACCAACACAGGAGACCGAGCTCTGACTTGGCCTCGAGGTATCACAACAACCAACACAGGAGACCGAGCTCTGGTATGGCCTCGAGGTATCACAACAACCAACACAGGAGACCGATCTCTGGTATGGCCTCGAGGTATCACAACAACCAACACAGGAGACCGAGCTCTGGTATGGCCTCGAGGTATCACAACAGCCAACACAGGAGACCGAGCTCTGGCATGGCCTCGAGGTATCAACACAACCAACACAGGAGACCGAGCTCTGACATGGCCCAAACCTCCACAAACAGCACAGGAGATATCCTAATTCTTGACAATAACTCCCACGAGCTGATCCAATTAACAGACTCTTTTCAGTAACATTGAGAATCCGTGACAGAATGAGGCAACATTGTTTACTTAACACAACAAATAATACAGATTTGTGTTAAATATGATTATTTTTGTGTTTGCATGCAATATTATGGATATTATCATTGAAATAGATATATGAAGTCTTTATGAAGAAATTAAGTTCATCCAGAATGAAGAAAAACACGTTTCAAAGACCAACGATAACATCAGGTTCTGAAGACTGCCATAATTCTTTCTGTCAGCGTTATGTTCCGGGACCTCTGCCTGTCATACTCCGCCTGGTAGGCTGGGTCAGCTGGGCCCCAGTCGGGCTTTGGACTCATAGGAGGCTGAATATTCAACATACAGAAAAATACAGTCAATGGAATACATTCCTCACGTACCAAGCAATGGTTACGTACGAACCTACATGCACTGATTTAAACTTTACTGAAAGTACTTATACATCAACGGCTCTGGGCAATCTCTCTCTCTCTCTCTCTCTCTCTCTCTCTCCACTCACTCACTCTCACTCTCTCTCTCCCCCTCTCTCTCTCTCCCCCTCTCTCTCTCTCTCCCTCTCTCTCTCTCTCCCTCTCTCTCTCTCTCTCTCTCTCCTCTCTCTCCCCTCTCTCTCTCACTACCCCTCTCTCTCCCCTCTCTCTCTCACTACCCCTCTCTCTCCCCTCTCTCTCTCACTCTCTCTCTCCCCTCTCTCTCCCCCCTCTCTCTCTCTCCCCCACTCTCTCTCTTTATCTTACCTGATTACCAGTAAAAATGATCGCGACCACAACAAACACTGGAATCGGTGCGAGTGGCAGCAGGGAAATGAACCAGCCCATCACTTCAGCCCACACGGGGAAACTGTAGCTTTCATAAGTAAGCCGGTAATGTTGTATAAGCGACAGCAAAAACAACAACTGAAAGGAAAGACGAGAAGTGCTGTTACAGTTACCGTTTTTAAATGATAATTTTTATCATAAAAACTCTTTTAATGAAGGAACATGAATAAAACCTCTATGATAAAACGTTGTTATCGAACTCAAGGTAATGCATGATAATAGCATCAGAAATTATATTACAGTCGTAATGTTTATTGTGACGTTTACATGCTTGCCAAGCCTTTTGTGTGCTCACATAGAAAAACATGGCGCTGCTACACAAAACTAGTTACCTAATCTATATATTTTAATCTTGTTTATGCATAATCATATTAACATGAGTCATTAGCAGGATGTGTTAGAGTTGACAAACTACAAGTTTTATAGTAGACATGTGGAGGACATTTCCAAATTTTACGCATCAGTGTCAAAAATGATTCCCGATGTCATTGCCTATTTTGACTTGTACCGTATGTTCCCGTGGTTTTTCAGGTGAACAATTGACTTGTCTTTGCATGTGTTTGTGATGGGTGGCACCTTTCGCGAACACCTAGTATCATCACTATTTGATAGTGATTCATAAACACGTACACATCAATAGACTATCATGTAGTCGAAATCGTAAAATCGTACAATAGATTTCTATTTCTATATGGAAAGGGTTTTGTCGCATTTATTCAAAAGACCTTAATATTTTTAAGCCCAATACACCCTCCTCTCTGACACATACATCGCCAAAGATATCAAGCATCAAAGACAATCCTGAGTGCACTACAAATTCCTTATGAATGTTCAGGCACTCTTGGGGGCGGTCGGGTAGCCTAGTGGTTAAAGCGTTCGCTCGTCACGCCGAAGACCCGGGTTCGATTCCCGACATGGGTACAATGTGTGAAGCCCATTTCAGGTGTCCCCCGTCGTGATAATGCTGGAATATTGCTAAAAGCGGCGTAAAACCATACACTCACTCACTCACTCAGGCACTCTTGACATTACCAGGATAAGGAGAGGAAGTACGAAACACCAGATGAACTTCAAGACGACAGGAGGTCGTAGACCGGTCATCATCTTGATGTCTCTGCTAAACTGATCCATACCTGAAATATAACGTTCCTTGCCGTGGTATTATTGTTGTCTGCGATGTTGTCACTACACAAATACATCTACACGTCGTTTGAATAAGACTACAGCGGTAATACAATACAAGTGTATGCATTTTCCTGGTCACCTTAAGCGGTTCTCTGTCTCTGTCCACTTATGGTTGGTTGGTTTGTTGTTTTACGCCACACACAGCAATATTCCAGCTTTATCTGTAAATAATCGAGTCTGGACCAGACAAGCCAGTGATTGATACCATGAGCATTGCGATCAAGTAGCGCTCTGAATACGACTGGCGATCAAGTAGCGCTCCGATGGCGATCTCGGCGATCGAGTAGCGATCTGACGGCATTCAGACCAGTCTTTATTTTAGCCCCTTAATGCCGAGCGCCAGACAGGGTAACAACAAGTACCATCTTTTTACTGATCTGCAGGGGAATTCACAGGCGGCGACCTTGACGATCAAGGAGATTAGTTACAGATCTGAAAGCGATCCATTAACGCTTTTGGAGTTCTTAGCGCTCAAAATGGCGATATATGGCGATTTGTAAGAGTGAGTGAGTGAGTGAGTATGGTTTTACGCCGCTTTTAGCAATATTCCAGCAATATCACGGCGGGGGACACCAGAAATGGGCTTCACACATTGTACCCATGTCGGGAATCGAACCCGGGTCTTCGGCGTGACGAGCGAACGCTTTAACCACTAGGCTACCCGACCGCCCCCGATTTGTAAGAGCGACACAGAGTCCCGCTTAGTGGAATGAGGGTATTAGCCGTGAAGATTCTGGGTTAGAACTGGTCTTCAGCAACTGATGCTTGTCGTAAGAGGCGACTAACGGGAACGGAAGTCAGGCTCGCTGACTTGGCCGATGCATGTCATCATATCCCAGTTGTGTAGATTGATGCTCATGATGTCAATCACTGGATTGTCTTGTCCAGACTCGATTATTTACAGCCGTCATGTAGCTGGAATATTGCTGAGTGCGACGTTAAACAACAAGCAAACAAACAAATTTTACATTATGTTATGAGTGCCTCTGTCAGCAGCAGTAAGGTGAGGTGAGGTGAAATAGGGTTTAACGTCGTTATTGCACTTATATAGAGACGTGCATGCACGTGTGTTTGTGTGTATGTGTGTGGGGCTGCTTGTACTAGTCCTGACTGATACCGATTTATAGTGCTAGCCCACTGAGATACCATGCCGCAGTTTAATATGAATACCCCACTCAGACACAGTATACTGACTCCGAGCCGACCAGTCTCTATTTTAGCCCCTTAATGCCGAGCGCCAGACATGGTAACAACAAGGACCATCTTTTAACGTCTTTTGGTATGACGCGGCCGGGGATCGAACCCCGTACCTTCCGCTCTCCTGGCGGACGCTCTACCGCTAGACCACGGAGGCGGTCCATCAGCAGTAAGAGCCGAGAGGTGACTTAAGCGTGTTTCAGTTCACATACCATATATCCATCCGACTGTCAGGAACTGGAGGAAACCAAGTATAAAGAAAGAAAGCCTCATAACACTGACATCGACCATAGTGAAAAAGTACACTCCGCCCTGAAAATGAAAAACAAAGATAATACACAAAGCATGTATAAATGTTCTACAATGCATCTTTTTGAAACTTTACCCCTAATGACTTTTGGTATGGAATCGAGAAGTATATGATGTAGATCAAATTTTCCATTATTTAGTTATATATTCAGGGTGTATAGGAATGCCTGACATAGCAGAAACTACAAGGTTCATTTGACCACAAGGCGCTGGCGATTGTCCTCTTTGCATGTGCAAAGTATATGGATGCCATTTTCAATCCAGTAGAGAATATTTGACGTTTTGTGTCAATAATAATAAGATAACAATAAGATAACGATGTAATCTCATCAGATTGATCTGAAAAATATATTGTTTACATGACTGACAAAGCCATAAGTGAAATTTATCGATTTTATGTTTTAAGACAAATATAGTGTTTCATCATTAAAAATACAAAGTCTTCAGAAGAGCATTTATTGGGATTTTGTACGGAGATTAGATATTTTTCATCTACAACTAAAAACCAGATTTATTTTAAGTTAAAACTGTGAGTCTAAATCAAAATTAATTTTGTGAGAGACTTTTTTCTCTCCACAATCTAAAGTATTTTTTAAAGTATATTTCCCGGACAATTAATTCTGTTCGATAATTCGTGTCACACTGAAAAAGAAAATAATATCCAAATACATGAGATGTCATCAAATGAAATGTAAAGGGTGATGATCTATTTTACCTATATGGTAGTCTCCTGCTTAAGATAGTTGCACCATAAACAAGGCGTTGCTGTGCGTTTGCATTGATAAGCAGTGAAATATTGGTGTGTATAGCAATTCCTCCCTCTCATTCCCATATCTTGCTATGGAATAATCTCCCTACTGCATCAGTTGTTTACCGATAAGGGCAGAGGGTATTAAGGAGCAAGGTCAAAGTGTAATGGTCAAATAAGGTCAAAATTTAAATAATCGCAAACATCGGAGCACACATGTAAAACTTCATTTCTTACTCCTCAAATACAAAATAATATTAATACATTTTGCAAAAAGGGTCAGTGTGGTGCTCATATTCGTCCATGCTGTGGTTGGATTTTCAGTGATCCATTCATATGACTTTCACCTCCATTTTAACTTTTACACCCGATGGAATCTGTTTCGTGGGACAATCGAGGCTGATGTTTCTCTAGAGAAGATTAGGGTTTCGACGGAAGACTGGCAAATAGGCCAAAACATAACTTTCAGTAAGGTGAGCTGACAATGTATTTTGCATTTTGTATACTGCAAAATCAAATTCGTGCAGGGATATGCCATAATACAGATTTAAGAATTAATAGACTTGGTATCATGTCAAAGAAATTACGTATTCGTTTAAGTGGATATATATATTGCATTTAAAGTTACTTCATTGCTAAACGTTAGATAAAAGGTTGCTGTGAGGAGTTTAGCCTTACCTTGGCAAGGTAAGGAAGGGTTAAGAGGAAGGAACCGCCACAGATGGCTGCGGTGATGGCGAGTCTTATCAGCCGAGATCGGCGAGGCAAACTATCAAGCACTGCCGTTATTACAACCTCTGCACCAAGGACCTGAAACAGATTCGCAGTGTTACCTGTATATCTTCGTATTGTATGTGACCGCCTCAGTGGTCTAGTGGTAGAGCGTCCGCCCGGAGAGCGGAAGGTCCGGGGTTCGATCCCCGGCCGCGTCATACCAAAAGACGTTAAAAGATGGTACTTGTTGTTACCCTGTCTGGCGCTCGGCATTAAGGCGCTAAAACAAGGACTGGTCGGCTCGGAGTCAGTATACTGTGTCTGAGTGGGGTATTCATATTAAACTGCGGCATGGTATCTCAGTGGGCTAGCACTATGAATCGGTATCAATCCGGACTAGTACAAGCAGCCACACAAACACACACACGTACATGCACGTCGCTATATAAGTGCAATAATCTTGGACGCGACGTTAAACCCCATTTCACCTCACCTCACCTCACCTCACCTCACCTCGTATTGTATGGCGAAATGGAACATCATGATTGAACATTTCGAACCAGGGACTTTGGTCAAACAAGAATACAATGAATGACTAGTCTAACCTCCATTGTAACGTTTGCGTGGGTTCAAGACGGGATATGAACAATTTTAGCATCTTTTCTGTAAACATATATGTGGCACGGTGGTCCGGTGGTCTGAGGCCGTGAAATCCCGTGTTTAGGGTTAACGTCCTTACATGGGTTGGATTCCCAGATTCAGCCTGTTTACGATCTACCCGTGAAGATATCTGGGGTAGAATAGGTCTTCAGCAACCCATGCTTGCTGTAAAAGGCGATCGGTAAAACGGGATCGGGTGGTCAGGCTCGCTGACTTGGTTGACTCATTCGTTCGTGGATCGATGTGCATGACGTTAATCAAAGGATTGACTGTTTCGGACTCGATTATTTAAAGACAGTTGTCACATAGCTGGAATAGGTCTTCATAGGTCTTCAGCAACCCATGCTTGCCTGTAAAAGGCGAGTATGCTTGTCAAAAGAGGCGACTAACTGGACCAGGTGGTCAGGCTCGCTGACTTAGTTTATTCATGTCATTGTATCCCTATTGCGTGGATCGATGCTCATGGCATCAATCACTGGATTGTCTGGTCCAGACTCGATTATGTACAGCCGTCATATAGCTGGAATATTGCTGAGTGCGGCGTTAAACAACACAACAACAACAACAACAACAAACATGTCAATTTTCATAATCATACACGGATAAATAGCTCAGTAATTCAAAAGAAGAAGGCCCGCTCAATATCACTGTCGCGACTGCCATTCTAAAAATCGGATCAGAATTCTGTGAGCGCCATGATATAGTTTGATTCATTCATACACAGTTTCAGATTTAGGAGCCTTGTAATTTTAGATGAGATGTCGAAAATGTAAATGTGTGAGTGACAGCAGCTACGAGTAATTGCTTTTGCGACGTAAACTCGTTACCTGTAATATTAAACAAGCGTGAACGAGTGGTTCTTCCAGTTGCAGTTTTACAGAAACGGTTGTAGTGAATACTGATTAGAACATTAGCACCACACCAGTCACACGTGGATTAGTATGTGTTCATAGTGTGGTATCGGGTATATGCTGTACCTGTATGTTGACTCCCATCAAAAGGAGCATGAAGAAAAATATAAAGCTCCAGAAGTTGGGTACTGGAAGATGTGCAATCATTTCCGCCATTGCAACGAACACTGCTCCTGGACCTGTAATAAAATATAATAAGTAAAATAAAATAATAAAAAGTACAGAAAAAGGGATGTGAGAAAGATTGATTCATGTTAGATGAAATTCTAAACTCGTATGTGTAGATACACAGAGGAAACTGCACTCGTTCTTGTGAGATATGATTGTTACAATAGACTGAATGTGGCATCTGACCGCATCAACCTGTGCAACTTGCAGGAGGATCCGATGACTTGGAGTCATGTTCTCAGATTGACATTGATTATGATCCATGGTCTTGGCCTCTAGGACCTAGGGTGCCCCTCCTACCCAGTGATGTAACCGAGAGTATGATAATAATTTGATAATAACCCTATTTACTCACTCATTCACTCACTATCTCACAAACAATATACGATGCATCTGCAAAACTTACCCGAAGCTACAACTTCATTTATCCCCACACCTTTAATCTGTGCAAGAGCCCCGAAGAAGCCAAACATCATAACACTGGTAACAATACCCAGGCCCAGCGTTACACCATACACTATAAAGGAGTCTCTAAAAACAACAAAAGCCGTGATGGATCATTTCGTATGCCAATGAGAATGCCTGTTCAAAAATAAATTAATCAAATTAATTAAATTAACTGTAAAGGATGTCTGAAAGCAATAGAAGTCGTGGTGGATCAATTGCTATGTCATTGATAAAACCTGTTCATAAAACTAAATCAATTAAATGTGAGGATGTGTGTAACTACCTTCATATTGATATGGTGTGTTTTGCATTATTACTTATATTTTAGAATGGCAGATTCAGTCATCGTAACGACTGGCCAAGTATCAGACACATGGGACCAAGACGTCGACATGGGGGCTGTATATTTTACAAATAAAAGCCACAAAACCCTTCCCATATTAATTTGAACTATCTGCTAAAATAGAGTCCGATGTACGATTCCCGCTATATCATAAGCATGTGTTTTTCAACCACTATAAGATAGTGCTGATATCAGGTGTTCGCGACAAGGTAAGCGTATCCTGCCCCACCGATGGCACCTGTCACAGACACATGCAACTGCAAGCTTATTGTTCGTCTAAAGAAACGTATGGTACAAGTCAAAATAGGGAATTGCATGGGACATTACTTTGTCACTTCAAATTTGGAAAACTTTACTGAGGCTTTGAACGTTATAACCTTGATCAAACAACTTTTGAGCAAGAGTCGGAACATATGGTAGAAGTCAAATAGGGAATTGCATCGGACATCATTCTTGTCAGTGATGCCTCAGATTGTTAATGTCCTCCACATGCCTACCCTTAAACGTTATGAAAGCTTTACTTGAATGTTGTAACCTTGATCAAACAACTTTTGAGCAAGAATCGTATGACGCTCTTTCAAATCTGGGTAGAAAGAGCATGCTCGATTTTACCTCAAGAGTTGTTAACTGGAGCTGCAGGAATATTGCTCGACATAAGTGGAAAGTTGAAGTCCCCTCTTGTCTTGGATAGTTTTTAGTGCCTCTGAATCTTTCTGCATAGATCTAAATGAAGGGTTTCACGGGATCATTTATTTCTGGCTCAGGTGAGTAAATCAGTGACAAGTAAGTGACTAATTGACCAATATTGAACAATATCAGGTCGTCGATATACCTGGAGCTGTATCTTCTTGTCCAAATTCCTTTGTTTTGATTACGCCAATCCGAACAGATATTCCAACTCGTAAGCATAACGAAACAGATCAGAAAGGAGCGGAACACAAATCGTTCTTTGGAGTCCAACATCTCACATTTTGTTTCTCGGTAACCTTAATATGACATTTGCTTTCACTTTTTTGCATATTGTCCAGAACTTTTGAAGATTAAAAATGCAAATATATCTATTGTCGCCACATTTAGTGGAATATACCCCATGGATCAAGTAATGAAGTTGTTACTTGAGATTCCCCAAAACACGTGCTTATGACGTTGCCTTTTCGAATTTCAAACGGGTATCATGGACATGTAAAACATGTTATAGAAATGTGATATTCATGTGTTCAGCCCTCTTTGGTGACGCCTAGGTAAGTTGAAATGGGGTTTAACGTCGCGTCCAAGATTATTGCACTTATATAGCTACGCGCATGCCCGTGTGTGTGTGTGTGTGTGTGTGTGTGTGTGTGTGTGTGAAGCTGCTTGTACTAGTCCGGAATGATGCCGATTTATAGTGCTAGCTCACTGAGATACCATGCCGCAGTGTAACATGAATACCCCACTCAGACACAGTATACTGACTCCGAGCCAACCAGTCTCTATTTTAGCCCCTTAATGCCGAGCGCCAGACAGGATAACAACAAGTACCATCTTTTAACGTCTTTTGGTATTATGCGACCGGGGATCGAACCCCGGACCTTCCGCTCTCCGGGCGGATGCTCTACCACTAGACCACGGAGGCGGTCGCAGGGTAAGCTTCAACTGATGAAAATACAGCTGACCTCAGTGCTGAAGAGGTGAAGCGTTTGTAGCTTGCCAGAGTGCTGATGATGCCTGTTGCCATCCCTGTTGTATACATTGCACTGAGAAATGCAGAGCTCCACGTCTGAATGGAAATATAGTCTCATGAAACAACTGAAGATGGTATGATGAATTACATGTATATGAAAAAGGTCAACAAACGTTTATCGATCATTAATTAACTGTAGAGTTATATTTAACAATATTCCAGCAATATCACAGCAGGGGACACCAGAATTGGCTTCACCTTTATAACATGTAGAGCCCGTTTTCGGCGTTACGAGCGAACGTTTTAACCACTGCTAGCCCTTCGCCCCACGTGTTTCTTCTAACCAGTGTAAAATATGAAACATGTAACATGACAACGCCTTTCTCTGTGTCTTCATGTGATCTGGTACCAGACAGGAACCACAATTGTGAAAAGGGGTGGGTGGGGTGCACACTCTACAAGACATGTTTGTTTGTTTTGTTTTCCACCTTCATGACGGCGGTCTTTACATAAACGAGTCTGGACCAGACAATCCAGTGATTGACATCATGAGCATCGATCAAAGAACTTGGGATACGATTACATGCATCAACCAAGTCAGGGGGCCTGATCACCCGAATCGCGTTAGTCGCCACTTACGGCAAGCAAAGTCTCACAAGACATGACGTGAAAATGAAACATAATAGAGTGACGGGTTGACACGTTCACGATACAGATGGCTTAAAATTAGGGGTGCGCAACAGGGTTGCTCTTCCTAAGTTATGTTTGGATCCGCTGATTGTGCGTTCGAATCTAAAGTTCGTCTAAATTGTTATCCTCGAGTTTAACCAGAGTTCAAATAAACAAATGTCTGAGACACTTTTTCTTTTTGTGATTTAACTGAAATATTGTTCAAAGCGGCGTAAAACTACACTCATGTAAACACGTAAAGCAAACCTTACCTCTTTGTACAAAAGACGCCCCAAGGAGGGATAGAGGAGGTACCTTATACCCTCCAGTGATCCGGGTAACGTCATGCCTCTTATAAACAGTGTCAGAAGGAGGACGAAGATGAGTGGCACCGTGACGAACACCACCTGGAGAGACGGTCAGTCTATAGTGAACAACGGACCTTCTTGCGTTTAATACAAACTTTATTGTTAGGCTCCATGTCAGAGGAAAAGGTGTATATCTTGACGCAGTGACTGAAGAAAATATCCTGTCTGCAACAACAATCAATCCCAGGGTGATCATCGCCTGGGTCATCTTCCCGAGGCAAGAGAGTTAACTGACTTTAAAAGTCCAGTTTCCACCCTTGCCGAACTAGGCTGGGATTACTGGGCTCGATCGTAGCGCCACCAATGGCTGTTTCTAGTGATGGCCCTTCTAAGCCTCTCCATGGACCAATCAGATTCCACCTCTCGTATCACTTCACACAAAATGGTGGCGCCCAGTCAGGACGATCTGATCGATAATCAAGATCTATATTGTGATAAAACGGGTCTTACATCGCGAAATGCATCAAATCACGCGAGCACATTAATTAAAAACATGAAAAGATTTGAAAAATATCTGCTGACAACGAGTTGGCGGTGCACATACTTTGCAAATCCTGCAATCGACCGAAATCTGCACGACGGTTTACGAACCGGAATTCGATTTCGGTGCGCGGTTTTGATCGGACTATGCACAGACTCATTAGTCCAGCCAAAATGTAACTCCACAATACCAGCCTAGTTCGGCAAGGGTGGAAACTGGACTTTTATAGTCAGTTACCTCTCTTGCCTTTGGAAGATGCGCCTGGGTTGGATGACCCACACGAGTACAATGTGTTGGTCCCATCCTTGTCATTCAACAAGCCACGCGTGCTATGTTGTGGGTGCAAATAACTAATGTAACGTACATACCTTTCCAATAACCTTAACTCCCCAGAACAAAGCAGCAAATATGAGAACCACGGTGCCGAACCTACATCCGACCAGCTCCCACTGAAGTCCCCCGGGGTCTTCGATTCCAGAGGAAATTTGCAAGACTCGATTACTGCAATATAAAGGAAATAAACACATCTTCATTTTATTATCTAATGAGGTTACATAAATATACCTGCATGTTGCAAGATTCAAATAAGGTGAAAACGAACACGCACGCACGCACGCACGCACGCACGCACGCACGCACACACACACACACACAAACCGCCATCTAAAATCTATGTTAAAATGCTCCTCTCCGCTGGAGACAAAGTGTGATCTGACTATCATTCTGTATATAAAAGAAATTAAAAAATAAAGGCGATAATATACTTTTTTACAGTGTAGGTAGATAAATGAAAATAAATATATTAGGTTAAATCTAATTTCGAAATATCTTGCAGTAATATGTCATTTTTTCTACCCTTAAAATGAAGTGTTACTGCAATATTAGCTAACAATCCTATGAAATGTATAGTTTGCTTCTATAAAATGGTCATTGATAATGAAGAATAAATAGAACTGAAAGCCCAAAGATGGTCAAAAAGAGATCAACTGTAGATCTTGCCTAAGCGGTCACGTATGCCTAGTTAGGTGAATATGCATATACTCGTCATTTGTTATTTGCGTCACGGGCAGTTTTCAAAGTTAATTTATGTTGTTATGACCTTGACCTTTAAAGCAAGCCATTCACTCATCAATAAAGATGACATCAACATATACACAGTGACCACGTTGTTCGGATAACTGTATATTCAACATTTTAATGTTTTAAATAAAAACATACCTTGTTGGGAAAGGAGTATCTTATGAAAATCCTCTAAACATCAAAATTAATGTTATATAAGCGTTTCTGAACAGAAGGCATTGACGTGAAGGCTGAGATGGGAAAGGTCGCCAGTGGAAATATGTGAAGCTTGACACCGGTAACACAGTTTTAATCTTGATGTGTGAACGAGTTACAAAGGATTGAAAGCTGCCTCAAACAAGATTTCAGTTATATCACGTCGTGTCAGATTAATTGGGGAAGAAATAAAAAATGTTGACACAAACATGTCCTTGCTGTTCGACACTTTATAACACAAAGGATACCAACTACCACGGGACTAGTGCTGAAGGCCAAGGATAATAATAATGGTGAATCTAGGATTCTAAACCACAAATTTCGGATCCTAACATGGCTAAGGGACGCAACTCTGCACATCTATATCCACAAATGAATACTTCTAAATGAAAACAATACCATGATACTGAAGATGTCTACATTGTGCAAATATTTATTCGAAATCATAATACAGAATATTGCCGATAAACCAAGTCGGCATTCATATGCCTGTTTTTTGTGTGATTTTTTTCCAACTGTTTAAGTGCCTTACTTAAAGTATTCTAGCCCAGGGGTCGACGGGCTACCAAACACGTAGGAGTTTCCACTCGCATTAAAGGGTAGGGTTTGACCTTCGACGCATGATGGGGTGTTCCAGGAGTTACTGCAGGTTGACCATGGCAGGGCGGTGGACCCTGACTGGAAGAGGTAGTACATCCCCCATGACGGGATGACGCCATACATTGGGTGAATCACTGCATTCACGACGACCATTCCCACGCCTACACCTGCAACAAGGCAAATAAGAATACAGTTTTGACAACGACCACTCATGTCCCTGCCTATATCTGCACCACCTGCAACAAGGAAAATAAGAACACGGTTTTTAAAATTCAAGATTAACATATCGTTAATATTAATTTAGTTTCAACAAAATCAGTAATGGTACACTCGTGTCACTGGATTTTCTGGTTCATCGATCGCTGGATTGGCTGACGTCGCATGGCAGTTGAAATAATGTGTTGGGTTCTACCGGTCGGGCAGGCCATGCTTACACTTCTCGCCAACACCTGGTGTCATCACTAATAATCAGTGGTCCATTCATATAATTTCCACAGCTATTTGCCCTTGCCAATTTTCATAAGACCACCTCATGCCCGTACACACGCCTGTAGGGGCGGTCGGTTAGCCTTGTGGTTAAACCGCTTGCTCGTCACGCCGAAGACCCGGGTTCAATCCCCGACATGGGTAAAATGTGTGAAGCCCATTTGTGGTTTCCCCCGCCGTGATATTGCTGGAATATTGCTAGAAGCGGCGTAAAACCAAATTCACTCACTCATTCACATGCACCTGTACCAGAAAGGGGGGACTACAATGTTATTACGATTATCCCCAAACATGGACATGTACGAGGAGTGGGAGAATAGATCTGATCCTTACTACGACGGATGTACAGAACACCTTTAACACTATTTCACGTGGTAAGTACAATGCTGTCCATACTTACAGACTGCATTTGAACCAAATACACAACCAGGGCCCACTTGCACCAAGTGATCTTAGCGCTAAGACTATTGTAAGCCTATGTTAAAGTATGGGAGTTAAGATCTTCTTAGCGCTAAGACTATTGTAAGCCTATGTTAAAGTATGGGAGTTACGATCATCTTAGCGCTAAGACTATTGTAAGCCTATGTTAAAGTATGGGAGTTACGATCATTTTAGCGCTAAGACTATTGTAAGCCTATGTTAACGTATGGGAGTTAAGATCATCTTAGCGCTAAGACTATTGTAAGCCTATGTTAAAGTATGGGAGTTACGATCATCTTAGCGCTAAGACTATTGTAAGCCTATGTTAAAGTATGGGAGTTACGATCATCTTAGCGCTAAGACTATTGTAAGCCTATGTTAACGTATGGGAGTTACGATCATCTTAGCGCTAAGACTATTGTAAGCCTATGTTAACGTATGGGAGTTACGATCATCTTAGCGCTAAGATCGCTTTATGCAAGTGGGCCTAGGCAGCCTAGTTCTGCATGCTTCAAAGTGACGAGATATTCTCTGTTGTTGAAAATGGTTACCGAGCTGTCATCAAATATCTGAGCTGAACTCCGCCAGCCAGCCATGCGGGCATGTTAACATGGTGTCGACCTCGGATGGGGTTATGTTGAATTATAATGATCAACCAGCTGACTCAACTCGGTCCATCATAATGAGGCTCAGAACTTTCAACCACCCCTTATCGTAACAACAGAGCGGGAAGAATATCTCAATGACCCTGCGTGCGTCATGCTTGCACCTGTAGTGAACCGTCAAACACAAACCTATCCCTGTAACGGGGAAGAGTGAGTGAGTGAGTTTGATTTTACGTCGCTTTTAGCAATATTCCAACATTATCACGGCGGGGGACACCAGAAATGGCCTTCACATATTGTACCCATGTAGGGAATCGAACCCGGGTTTTCGGCTTGACGAGGGAACGCTTTAACCACTAGGCTACCCGACCGCCCTAACGGGGAAGAAATACAGTTTATCTAAGCGACCACCACATAGATAGGCGCTGCAATGACCGTATTTGTACACTCCCTATGACAAATTGTGGTTCGAAAAAATAGTAAAATAGTGTTGGATATACACTGTACACCTGGAGCTTGATTTGACAGCACAACTGAGCACTTAATCTGAGGTTTACATAAATGTCACGAAGCACGTGATGGAATTATGAAACTCAACGCCAGAGAAGAATCAGACTCGATTATCCGTTGAAAAGGATTCCATTGAGCGTAATAGGCAAAATGAATGAATGAATGTGCCTAATTATGTGGACGAGATAATACATGCAACGTATAGGAGACATACATCACTAAATCACCCAGTCGTTACCTTCACCAGAAAATAGATGATTCACAGACTGATTGTATTTTTTATTAAAAATGTCAAATACCTGCTCAACAATGAGAGGTGAGCCTGGAACAGACAAAACAAAGGTAGTTTGCAAACTTGAATTTGTGAAATCTACAGAAGACCGAATACAAATTCATTTCGCTTCATATGTATTTAATATCTGAAGTTTGTTTGTTTGTTATTTAACGCCGCACTCAGCAATATTCCAGCTGTATGACTGCGATCTGTGAATAATCTAGTCTGGACCAGACAATCCAGTGATTGATAACATGAGCATCGATCCACGAACTTTGGATCGATGACATGCATCAACCAAGTCAGCGAGCTTGACCACCCGATCCCGTTAGTCGCCTCTTTCGACAAGCATAGTCGCATTTTGCGGCAAGCATGGGTTGCTGAAGACCTATTCTACCCCGGATCTTCACGGGTCAATATCTAAAGTATAGATATTGCGATATCAATTAATGATCAGGGTGCCTTGTTCAAACCAACCTTAGCGCTACGACCGTCATAAGCCTATATTAGTGAGTGAGTGAGTGTGTTTGATTTTACGCCGCTTTTAGCAATATTCCAGCAATATCACGGCGGGGGACACCAGAAATGGGCTTCACACATTGTACCCATGTTGGGAATCGAACCCGGGTCTTCGGCGTGACGAGCGAACGCTTTAACCGCTAGGCTACCCGACCGCCCCTCATAAGCCTATGTTAAGGTATAGGAGTTACGATCACATTAGCGCTAAGATCGCTTTGTACAGCGGCAAACCTGATGCTACGTCGGCGACGATCGCCTGCAGTCCGATCTCCACTAACGCGCTGGTTCTCACTGGTAAGCGACCGCCTCCGTGGTCTTGTGGTAGAGCGTCCGCCCGGAGAGCGGAAGGTCCAGGGTTCGATCCCGGGCCGCGTCATACCAAAAGACGTTAAAAGATTGTACTTGTTGTTACCCTGTATGGCGCTCGGCATTAAGGGGCTAAAACAAGGACTGGTCGGCTCGGAGTCAGTATACTGTGTCTGAGTGGGGTATTCATGTTAAACTGCGGCATGGTATCTCAGTGAGCTAGCACTATAAATCGGCATCAGTCCGGACTAGTACAAGCAGCCACACACACACATACACGTGAATGCACGTCGCTATATAAGTGCAATAATCTTGGACGCGACGTTAAACCCAATTTCACCTCACTTCACCTCACTGGTAAGCATGTGTACTCGAATTTAAATTTTCAACAAAGGTTTATACAGTTGAAGCCTCACACTAACACTTATCAAGTATCTCTATTCTCTCATCAAAAACATATCCAGCCGCCATTATTATATATTCCCAATCACATTCAACACTTCATATTGCTATATAATTAACAAAATATGATTCTGATGTATTGTCAGATTTGTTTTCATGACAATGAGAGTGTAGATGGTACATGTGTTTCATGAAATAAAGCTTACCAGATAATGAGAGTATAGATGGTACACATGTTTCATGAAATAATGCTTACCAGATAATGAGAGTATAGATGGTACACATGTTTCATGAAATAATGCTTACCAGATAATGAGAGTGATGATGGTACACATGTTTCATGAAATAATGCTTACCAGATAATGAGAGTATAGATGGTACACATGTTTCATGAAATAATGCTTACCAGATAATGAGAGTATAGATGGTACACATGTTTCATGAAATAATGCTTACCAGATAATGAGAGTATAGATGGTACACATGTTTCATGAAATAATGCTTACCAGATAATGAGAGTATAGATGGTACACATGTTTCATGAAATAATGCTAACCAGATAATGAGAGTGAAGATGGTACACATGTTTCATGAAATAATGCTTACCAGATAATGAGAGTGAAGATGGTACACATGTTTCATGAAATAATGCTTACCAGATAATGAGAGTATAGATGGTACACATGTTTCATGAAATAATGCTAACCAGATAATGAGAGTATAGATGGTACACATGTTACATGAAATAATGCTTACCAGATAATGAGAGTGAAGATGGTACACATGTTTCATGAAATAATGCTTACCAGATAATGAGAGTATAGATGGTACATGTGTTTCATGAAATAATGCTAACCAGATAATGAGCGTGAAGATGGTACATTTTGTTTCATGAAATAATGCTAACCAGATAATGAGAGTATAGATGGTACATATGTTTCATGAAATAATGCTTACCAGATAATGAGATTGATGATGGTACATGTGTTTCATGAAATAATGTTTACCACATAATGAGAGTGTGGATTGTACATGTGGTTCATGAAATAATACTTACCAGATAATGAGAGTGAAGATGGTACACATGTTTCATGAAATAATACTTACCACATAATGAGAGTGTGAATGGTACATGTGGTTCATGAAATAATGTTTACCACATAATGAGAGTGTGGATTGTACATGTGGTTCATGAAATAATGTTTACCACATAATGAGAGTGTAGATGGCACATGTGTTTCTTGAAATAATGCTTACCAGACAATGAGAGTGTAGATGGTACATGTGTTTTATACAATGGTTGTGCCTCTTTAAGTGTGACCTTACCTCTGAGGAGTGGACTGAAGTTCCAGATGTGGGCTGGGCCTCTGCCGCAGAACTGCCCCAGACTTAGATCCATGTAGAAGATGGGGACTCCGATCAGAAGGAGAAAGATGGCGTACAGGATCATGAAGACAACTGGGGAGTAGGACACAGTGACAGAGTGAGTGAGTGGGTTATGTAACATCGTTTCAGTTTGATGAACGCGGGGGGTAAAAGTTTACCACTTCGGCGAAATCGGATATGGTGTCCGCTAACGTTTGACAATTCAGCTTTCAATATTATTGAGAATAAGACATCAAAAGCTCAACATAGATATTGTGTTCCAAGTTTTAACACTCTGTTTGAAGAATTATGTAGAACGTCAAGGCCAGAGACTAATTAGTCTTGATTATCCCACGAAACAGATTGCGTTGGGCGTAAAAAGTCAAAAGATCAAAGTCGCTCTCGTAATTCAGCATTTTAATTTTTAAATAAAATGCCCAAAACCTCACTTGTAACTTCAGCTTTCTTTTTTTCTTGTCAAAATGTAGAATTTCAAAACTGCAGGAGTAATTTTCCAAATGTTCTTGACCGTCGTGAATCCTACTAAGTCAAATTATGTTTATCTTAACACATTGTCCTCCGTCATCCAACAATACAATTATCTACAAATGTACACAGTGATGTATATAACATCAATTAATAAGTTCTCGGATAAATCAGAATATTGTCGCAATAACGGCATAATACTGTCCCAGCAGTTGTTACGATTTTGACGACTTTCATTTTTTGTGGAAGCCTCGGTGGCTGAGTTGGTAAGATCACTGACTTTGTGTGCTGGCGATTAGGTGCCTCACTCTGGCAAGTGTGGGTTCGAATCCCGGACGGGAATCTGTACTTTACTAAGAAAGTGTTATCCCAAATATAACATTTGTTACATTTGACCACTTTCTAAATGGCATTGTGTATTCAGAGCATGTTTGATGTCCTAAAACATTGTGTTATAAAATGAAAAATGGTCCAGTTCCTGCTTTCAGAGAGCAAAGATGTGCCTTGAAGCAGTAACCGAAATAACACCATCACACCCACACCCACACCCACACCCACACCCACACCCATACCCACACCCACACCCACCCACACCAACACCAACACCATACCACACACACACACACACGCACGCACCCACACCCATACCCACACCCACACCCATACCCACACCCACACCCACACCCACACCAACACCTACACCACACACACACACACACACGCACGCACGCACACACACATACACATGCACACGCACGCACGCGCGCGCACACACACACACACACACACACACACGCGCACACACACACACACACACTCACTCACTCACACACACACTCACACACACACTCACACCCACTCACACCAACACCCACACCACACCACACCACACCACACCACACCACACCACACCACACCACACCATACCACACCCACACTCACACCAACAAACACACACACCCACACACACACACATACCCCACCCCCACCCCCACCTAACCGTATTAAATGACCGGACCCTTATGCAGTGGAAAAATGTTGACCCTACAACAGGCGATGAAACACTCAACAAATAGCTAGCCAATTGGGAGAACTAATAATAATTTGAAATAATTTTATGAGCAATAAGCACAACACTATTAATATTAGAGTAACCCTGAGAAGCCAGTAAGTTACCATTAGCCCCGGTGAGTTTAACAGTCGTAATCGGCAACTACCATGTAATTAATGATAAGGTCATCTGTAATTGACATGAACCCGCAGATGAAAGACGAGAATCACATTCCACGTACTACACGATGCCTGTGATAAGTACGTTAGCACTGCCAACAAAACAACATGGGCCTTTCTATTGCACAGTGACAAAATCTTGTAAACCAGGTCCTCCTCACATGCGCAGCCTGGAAGTACTTCACCAGTGCAGCTATTGGCCGTTGAAGCTATAGTAGCTTTTGGTACACGATTATAAAACTGTACACGCAATTCCATACATGCAGTCATATGCAGATAACTGAGGTCTAACGGTATATTCACAGTAAACATGGATCTTAAAGGGATAACCTGTTTACGTTGTGAAAGGTTATAAGCATCTGGGCTAGGGCTGGGACGGGTAACTCGGTTACCCGGGTCGGGTGGGTACTGAGTAGGACCCGGGTATCCACAGGACTACTCGGACCCGTGGTTAGTCACGTGATGGAAGGTATCTAGAACTCTGTGGTTACACTACAAGTCACAAATGTTCTCATTTCTTTCTGACTATGCACCCATTCCTTCTGACTTTTCATATCATTGAATAAAGATATAACTTGAGTCAACTTCAGTGTATGCATGACCAGATTGTTTAATACATGTATCTACGTTTTGCCAGTGCTATGGTAAATAAAATGCTCTTGAGACCTACAGTGGGTATCCGGGTAGGGTCGAGTAATAGGGGGGTGGGTACCCGGGTAGTAAATTCCGACTCGTCCAAGCTCTAATCTGGGCATAATAGTTTCTTGTATATCATCCTCAGATCACGCCCATCTGAATAGCTACTTCAGCTAATGATCTCACGTGCATATGATCATGTCACTAAGTAAAATTTGCCGGGCTATTTCCAAGGACACACGTTCAACTAATACTTCTCTATTGTGTATCGGGTGTCCAACAGTATGGCACGATCAAAACCGTGGATCAATTAGCATGTAAAAGCATATTTAAATGTTGGAGTGTAATAAGGTATGAACTGGCCTTTCGCACGGGAAATGATACCACTCTCCGTTGTATATGAAAAACAGTAAATATTGGCTGAGATTAATTAGGGCACACGACTCCCAAATATAGGTAGTTTGATTATGATTACATGCCCAACGTGCATAATTATTATCTACATACCTGTATGTAAGGACTTATTCTGCCGGGGCGGACGGTTAGCCTAGTGGTTAAAGCGTTCGTTCGTTCGTCACGCCGAAGACCCGGGTTCGATTCCCGACATGGGTACAATGTGTGAAGCCCATTTCTGGTGTCCCCCGCCGTGATATTGCTGGAATATTGCTAAAAGCGGCGTAAAACCATACTCACTCACTCACTAATTCTGCCAGAATTATTTCACGTGAGTAACTACGTATTGACTACATGCCTACATGTAACCTATCTTAATATTAACTACATCCTTACGTTTATATACTCTGCCTTTGCATGTATTTGTCACGGGTGTCGCGAAAACTTGGTATCCTCCCGATATGATAGTGATTCCTAAACTCATGTTTATGATATAGTCGGAATCGTATAAAGTACTCTGTTTGTAGCAGAAACTTCCTGTGATTATGAAACGAATTTTGTCGCTTCGTACATATTCCAACATATTCCAACGTCTACATATTTGTTTAGCAACAGTGTGTACATTTCTACGTGTATGAAGTCTAATATGTCTACATTATAAAATGTAAGAACATTAATGTTGTCTCCTTTCAAACACTTTAAATTCATTAAATATTGTTTACATTCATATATGTAAGTGGCTTAATATGTATTCCTTTTGTGGTCTTTATTCATATTATGTACATTTCTACATATTACTTGACATTATGTACATTTCTACATATTCCTTGACATTATGTACATTTCTACATATTACTTGATATTATGTACATTTCTACATATTCCTTGATAGTATGTACATTTCTACATATTACTTGATATTATGTACATTTCAACATATTCCTTGACATTATGTACATTTCTACATATTACTTGATATTATGTACATTTCTACATATAACTTGATATTATGTACATTTCTACATATTACTTGATATTATGTACATTTCTACATATTCCTTGACATTATGTACATTTCTACATATTACTTGACATTATGTACATTTCTACATATTACTTGACATTATGTACATTTCTACATATTACTTGATATTATGTACATTTCTACATATCACTTGACATTATGTACATTTCTACATATTACTTGACATTATGTACATTTCTACATATAACTTGATATTATGTACATTTCTACATATTCCTTGATATTATGTAAATTTCTACATAATACTTGATATTATGTACATGTCTACATAGAAATATATACCTTAATCGTGTCTATGGTGTTACCTGTAAGTACCGGAATACTGCCTACATACCTATGTATTGGAAGCTTCATATCCGTCAGAAACTTAATATTGCCTACGTGTCCACATGAATGAATGAAGTAAGTGAAGGATTGGCATCTTTATAATCTGCAATGTTCCCCGAGCCGAGAAAGATATAAACATGAGCAGTACAATTTGGGCACTCACCTCCTCCGTTCATGTAACACAAAAAGGGGAACCTCCAAATGAGACTGTAATCTGTGGTGACGGCCAACGCGGCCATAATAAACTCTGCATTACAGGCCCAATGGCCCCGCTCCATGCCTTGTGAAACAACTGCCTGTTCCTTGAATTCAAAGCTAGTTACATGAGTAGACACTGCGGGTTCCGATGCAGTAGACTCTTGGGTAGTTTGAAGGGGTTGCTCTTCTTTTGCAACTACGGTGCTTGGACCTGTAACTTCCTTGCTCTCGAGGTCCGCCATGTTTTGTATGTCTCCCTCCTCTGCTGACATGCAACCTTGTACTTCAGGGTGAAACAGTATTTCCTCAATTGAGCTCTTATCCAATTAGGTATTTATATCGTCAAATAAGGATAATTGTCCTTTAAGTTCTCTTGGGCGAAAGGCCAGATTAGAATGTGCCCGTTGACAAACTGACACCCTGTTCTAGATTATAACATTTCTGGTTAAGTGCACAACAAAACTATAACCTCCACTTGGGGATGGAATCGTCCATATAAAAAGAACAAAATCTGATTGTAGCCTTTAATCAGACAGGACAAATGTCGTTTTTTCTATTGGAAAATATAAAGTACATATGTTTTTCATTTCTCCATTAAAGATTTGTTTTGCGAATTTTAACTTTGGATTAAGATATCCGTGTGTCAATCTTCTTGCACAGGACACCACGAGAATGTAGCACTCCAGCTTGGTTGTAAAGACTGTTACAAATAGGTCACTGGTATGCAAATAGGTGGCGGCTTAAATATAATGCAATCAAAAGTGCAGTTATTACTTTCAGCAACCGTAACAAAGTAGTTGATGCATGTAATGTGTATCTTGGTGACTCTTATGGTGTCATGACTGTGCTCTTTTATTCCTTGTTCCAAGCACGGGTGGCCCAGTCATCCAAGGCGCCGTAATTCGTTGTGCAGCGTTGCGTCCCTTGGGCACACCAGAAACCTATGATTGTGGGTTCGAATCTAGATTCGACCAGATTATGTTTCTAGATTTGTCAGCACCATATCCGTGTGTCTTCAGCACGGCTCGATTCAACAATCTCAACTGAGGGGCAAATGAAAGTATACCAAGTTTGTTTTTTATGTAATTGAAAATGAAAAGAACTATTGTTGGAATTTATGGTATCTATTTAAACATCACTTATTCCTGCAACAGTTTCTAAAAATAAATTTGTTGATTTGTAATTTTGTGATCCAATATATTGATTCAATGAAGACTGGAGTAAGAAATGAAATTTGGGCCGAAAACAGCACATTTATTGTTTTTCAATGATAAGATAGCTTAGATACCTATCAGCAATTATGTATTATGCGATTTTTATTTTATTTTAATTTTGAAACGTTTTTTATATTTTTTTAAATATAAGCCGTTCTATGTTTGCGTGATGACTAAGCGCCAGATGACTTCTTTTGAGGATATGATATCGTTAACTTAAGATATTTTCAATTGTAAATCAAACATATGATAAAATTAATTGAGAGGTACAGTTTCTTTTTCTCCTCAGTTTATAATTTTCAGACGCTACGGCGACACATGTGTACATTTGGTAAAATTAAATATTCAATATTTTCAATTCAGTATTATCCAAAAACACTAGGTAAATAATATATGTTACCTATAACGATATTCACATTGAATTAATTTGATAACTTTTGAAAAACGGGAGAAGCATATATGTCCTTGTTTGGGTTCTATAGTTTTCATTACCCCCGTCAATGTGTACTATCAACGTACAGCCGATTGATACAATACCCGTTTAGGGCCCTATGACACAGCAAAGAGATTTGTACAATGTATTGTAAGGATCAACTCGTGACTTAGCTTGGCGCACGTGCCTTATGATCATCAATACATTTCTCGGGCAGCAGCCAAGGCCAACTAGCACTGCAGAAATACAGACTACAAAGACTTCTTGTGTATTTTGCTCAAAAGAATGAATAAGAATTACTTGGACCACGCGGGGCTCAGATTCATAATCACGGAAAGACAATTACTAATTGAATTAAAAACAGACAACTACTGGTATGTATGTATGTGATACTTTGGCGTCTTACTGTGATACGACCTGAATACATTTATCAATTTACCAATTTTAGTAAAACGTTGAAATTAAATCAATTAGAGACATACTTGATGTAAATGATTTTGTTACAATGTGATCAAGTAAGAATGATTTTATTATGACAATCCCTCTTAGTGGGTTTGTCTTCTTTGAGGGATGGTCCAGATGTATCTGGTCAGATATGATGACTGTGATGTTTCAGCTGAAGATCTAAAAGATCGACTGAGTCTACACCCGCAACCAAATTAATAACTAAGTAATTTTCATGCTTAACGTAAAAAGACATTGAATTTGTTCATAAAAAAACAAGATTTGTATAAATGATGATTTGCATGTTATGTCTGTATCTGCAACTTTGGAGGATATTAAGAAAATATATCTATCTGATCAAAGTATTCCCGCCCGAGTGGAGCTCGACTGTCTTATTCTAACAATGGGTATTGTCCTAATTCCCCCACTGTCTAACATCTGGCTGGACGACAACTGCCTGTCTGACGTATGAGAGACGCTGACAGTGTAAATTGTCCGGAAGAATGTCAGTGTCTCGGATGAAGTGCAATGTATATGTAAGTTATTTCCCACTAACCACCGGACCAGTAACACGACCATATACGACATGTACATTTGGAAAGTACACAATGCGCAGTGTGGAATAAAGTTATACGTAAACACGAACAACCATCCCAGTTTATAATGCAAGCAATATACATACGCAACCGGCGTCCTCTTTAATGGGAAATGGGAACAATATTACGAATTCTATCAATTCGTATCAAAAAGCAGTGTGGATCCATGGTAACGGGGACTGCAATACACCCGCAATCACATTTAAATTTATACCGAATCAGACAAGCGTTCAGAAGGAACGTCACTGTTCCTTGTTAGCAGGTTTCTCCTTTGCCATTACAACTCACAGTTGTACAAGGACGTTGTGTAAATGACCTTGGCATATACATCAGGATTTAGAGTTATTAGACTATATCAGATGTGTGAAAACGTTGGAGCGAGAACAGCTAGAGTCGTACAGTAACCGAGGAGGAGGATGGGTTGTAAATGGCTATATCTTTAAGCAATACGTTTCTTAAACGATTTATAAACCCCAGCGACGTGACCGCATTGTTTCGGTAGTCTCAGCTCATAATACTTCCAATTTGTATTGTGCTTTATTGAAAACACTCTATGTGAAATGTTGGACTTCCTCACTGATAACATCTATGTACAATTTGGGGGTAAGACATTTAGACAAGAAGTAGGCATCCCCACGAGCACCAATTGTGCTCCCCTTCTTGCTGATATGTTTCTTTATGCACATGAATCGGAATTTGAACTCTTCCTCTACCCTGACGGGAGTACCATGTAAATTATTTGCTTGGGTTTTTTTTAAATATCAAGCCATTCTCAAGAAATGCCATCAACTTGACTAAAATTATCAGACAGGGTAGAAATTACTCATACTTGAACGCATCTTTTTGTTGAAATATTTGTTTAAATGATGCAATTCAACATCAAGTATCAAATGTCTCAACTAAATCGGAAAGTACAATATTATGTTGTTTGGTTACGTGTCATTTTTTATAAACGATTCTAAGCATTCCAGCTAATAAACCAAACTGTATGTTACATATGATATTATTGGTGTCCAAGTACCAGACTTATTGACTGTAGCTAATTATAAAGGACGGTAATTTGATGGCTCAGGCTTTGGGAATGATAATGGCAGTTCGGGGGCTGATAATGAATGTTATCAGCTCTTGTTACATACTGCCAAAGGGAAGTATGTAATTCAGGATATCAAATATTTCGTTATAATTATTATCATATTTTGAATTGACCTTCTTCTCTTCTTGTTGTTTTTTATACTTCTGAAACTTGTGTAAAAGGTAAAACTCTTACAGTGAATGAGCAGAATTCTTTCCAGTGGAAGAATGTGAAAATGCGTGTCGTTGTTTGAAATAAAAAAATTCAAAACTTCCCCCGTATTGTTTGTATGAGCATTTGCCATAGATATGTATGACTATTTAGATAGCCTATGATGAGACATGATGATATTTGGGAAATTGGCCGAACACTTAGCAAAAGTAATGAACAATGTGTTATGGCAATATCCAGAAAGGCAGTTATTGTTACGTGGAGACATTCCTAAGTCCAGCTAGCTTCTGTAGGTTCCTCTTAGGGAGGGGACAGTGGGGTAGCCTAGTGGTTAAAGCGTTGGCTCGTCACACCGAAGACCCGGGTTCGATTCCCCACATGGGTACAATGTGTGAAGCCCATTTTCCGGTGTCTACCGTCGTTATATTGCTGGAATATTGCTAAAAGCGGCGTAAAACCATACTCACTCACTCACTCTAAAGGAGATGTTATACTTGGTTGTTGTGATTTCAGCTATTGTTGATGCTTTTCTTATTGCTTTCTTTTTAAGACAAGCTCAAGTGAACAGGTTCAACCGCCTCCGGGGCTGGTTTTTCTTGTGCCCAGACTCTGAAGTTGTTACATTTGTGTTTTGTTGGTTTTTCTAAAGAAGAAATTGGGATTGTTTTTCAGACTTTTACCCATGACAGTAAGGGAAGCGGGACAACAGGTTGCATATTTGAAATTGACTAGAATGCTGATGATGTGTTTGTCAACTGACAGGCAACCAGCTTCTCAGCTTCTTGGAAGGTGATGGTGTTTTACTCATTTACTTGCTGCATCCGGTGCTCCCATGCTCGATACATGGAGCCATAACAGGACTTTAATCCATGTCTAAAATTTCAGCATCGGAGTGAATCCGGAACATACATCTTCCACTTTAATGTTGAAATAAACAGCTTTGGTAGATTGAGGGGTAGTCATATGAGCAAAAGTGAAAGGTTAGGAGTTGGATCAACTACAGGTTCGAATGTCACACTGAATATTGCAGTACATCAACTGCAGTCTTCGATATTAACTTCCCATTCTGCCTTCAGTCCCAATATGTCTATATCCCATTTCACCTACAGAAATTAGTGAAGGCACAATGTGAATCACGCTGTATGCTCATTAGCTAGCATGGCTCATTATTATCTAGGAGAGATACAGCTGTTGTTTAGCATGTGATTTTACACTGAATAAAAATAATACATGTCACTGTGTGAAAATGAGAAACACACATAATCCACAGACAATCATGTGCACAACTATACCAATATTTATTGAGTAAATATGTTAATACATATCATTGCAAAACAGCAAGAAATAAACATACCCTGGAAACAATCGCATCACTCTATTTGTTTGAGAGGGCACTGGTAGTCAAGCCGTCAGTCTACGCAATTCGCCGCGCAGAGTTGCTTCCCTTGGCCTCGCCAGAAATCTGGGATTGTTGGTTCGAATCCTGGTTCGCCCTG